ATATACGATTATACACGCGGATTTTTCCAACACGGCTGCTTATGAAGCAACAATGGACACAACACGTTTACTTGTTTTCCGATAACGGTTAAAATAGACAGCTTTAATTCGGTCAGAGATCACGGACACGAATTGATCGATAGGTAACAATTTTTCCAAGATTATTTTGGCAGAATCAGATTCTAGACCGTTGTCTGAGTCAGACTGCCCTAACAGCGTGTGTCCTGCGCGGGAGAGCGTTTGCACACGGCACGACACGACGCGGAGTTTAATCTCTATTAATAAATACCCGCTCTGCCTCGGCCAGAATAGAGAGCAGCTCTCCACTACCGGCTCATTGAATGCATACGCGGTGTTTGATATTAGAATTCGTAACAAACGTGGGCCGATTTCGTCTTGAATTGATTTTCATCGATAAGTTTGCAAAGAGAGGTTAGATTGAGTTAATAGGAAGACGTCGACATAACCTTTGATATATGCACATATGTATAGCTCGGATCAAGGATTTACTCTTCTATATTGTAAATATAATCCAAAATTTATTTTTTTCTTTATTTACAAACTGAAAAAAACGTAACGAGTGTTTGAAAATTACAATTTAAATTCGAGCCATCGTTCAGATTTCTTTGCAACAAATCGGTTCTCATGTTAAACGTTAAAAATAGCTTTTATTTTTAAACAAGCTATAAAATCATGTAAATTTAGAGGACATATAGAAAAGAATAATGGAAAATTAAATATGTACGATTTATCATAAAGGTATAATATATGTTCTGATGAAAAATCGTATACTTACTATCTGAATTAGTATACATATAAAAAAATCATCATCTTTTATGTATTAATGGAAAAAAAATTTTCAGGTCTTGCTATCCTCAATTTGTCGTATGATTTGTCGTATGATCCAACAAGGTGTACAAATAAAAGTTAAAACGAAGTAAGAGGTATTATAACTGGAAGAATTAAATATTACAAAAATATATATTAAATGTGACGTATTTTGACTTTTAAAAATTGATCTATATTTCAAGTGGGTCGATGGAAGTATAAATTACGGATAGATATATGTGCTAACTGAACTCACCAACGCGTTCTCCGTTGCCGCAGACAATACCTGTCGCCAAGGCCTGAAAAATATGATCACATTATAAATCCTACATCTCGGAGTTTAGCCAATATTTATCATGCTAAGAAAAGACGCAGCTGCATTTTTTTACCATATCGTATTACCACGATAGAAACTTTTCCATATTGAAATATAATGACATTTAGAGTTCACTGAGTTTTCGTAAAATTCAATATCACCCTTGATATTTAAAATATCTTGGCATGTTAACAATAGAAATAACCACGACAAATCATTTTTTAAAGTGTTCATTTCTTCTACTTTGCAATACCACTTGCTTTGATTTCTCGCGACAAGAAATTCGCGTTCATAAGTTGTTTCATAAGTAGCAAGTTATAAAATAACACGTTATTTTTGAACCTTCACAAATGCAACGAAGCAATACCTTCGCAATATTACGATGCATTCCTTCTTCTTAACTCGAGAGCGAAGATAAATATTATTAAAAGGATAATACTTATTTCTCTGTATAACTATTACTGAGAAATAATTTAATTTGATCGATATCAAATTGCATATTATAATAATATTATCAATTTATCTCAATAAGATAAAAGATATATCGTAAAACATTTACGAAGTTCGTTCGGCTTATTATAATTTAGTATTATAATTTTCTAGAGTTTAATGGTATTATTTTTATTATTTTCATGTTATTAATTTTTATCATTTAGGTGGTGATAAAAGACACTATATCGATGACAAACTATCTGATATAATACTTTGATTAAAAATTGATTAGGCAAGAAATATGACGATAGAATTGTCAGATATGTAGGCTCTCCTTTTGCAATTCCAAAACACGTTTTTCTTTCTACAGCCCACATGGCTTTGTTCTATTCTTTCTTTTTTCTGACGGTACATGATATACCCATATAAACCTTAACACGTGAATAAAGGCGTCAGATTGTAATTAGTCAGAAGAATATGATATACAGGTAACTGGAAGCGATTCTTAAGCTATTTTTCCGACGCAGGCAAACAAAAAGAGTGCTTTGGGAACAAGGTCACTGGATCCTAATAAGAGTTCGTGCTTAAATAAGGAAAGGATGAATCATTTCTGGTACAATTATCTTTAACTATTTGAGCTTTGTAAATTTATCATTATCGTCCACTTCTAATTTCGTAATACAAAATCGTACGAAGAATTGATAAAAATAACAGTGGAAAATTACTTTTCACGTTATTTATATACACTTTGACGACAATACTATTAATCGAATAAATAATTAAAGTATCAGAACAATTAAATAAAACTGTAACAACAAATTTTTTTAATTCGTTGTGGCATTTTTCGGATACAATGAATCGATCCATTTATTTGCACAAAATGTAGTACAAAACGATAGTTTCTCGATTAGTCGTAACCTTCGCATCGATTTTATGTGTAACGGAGGTCAATGACGTATTAGGTTCAACTATGTCTTAGAAATGTATGAAATAAAACGACGAATAAAAGAATTTCTTGATCTTGTTTCCTTTATAAGACAACGACATTGCATTCCTACTTCTGATTATGTTAATATACACGGGGAATAGAGAAATACACGCCCACATTCTTTGGTGCTAGAAAACGAGTCGATATTAGAGGCGGCCGAAGTACTCACGTTCATGGTGAAGGGACAGCTGACAGTCGATCCACGTAACACTCAACACTACTACGAATTATGACATCGTGTAGAATTCCAAGAGAATATCACTGCACGATTATAAGGTAGTCGTATACGCATGTCATTTCTTAAAAATCACGAAGATGTACTTTCCGGAATGCATATTCTGAGTCACTCTGCCGAAGAGAGCCCCTCCCTGACTGCAACAACCCCTGTCTAGCCTCTAACGCGCATGCTCCTGAGTTTATGGTCATTTACGAAGAAAGGGGATGATTCTGTTTCGTACTTAGCTTCTCTTCGCGTGCGTGCAATTTTACGCACTAATACCCTAAGCACTGCTCAACTGCATACGAAGGGCGCAATGATAATGAACTGTCGATGGTATGGTCATCCCTTAAAGTTTTGAGGTTATCCTGCGCATGTCCAAAACACCCTCTTCAGGCGTCGATGATCGAACGACTGATCCACAATGTTTTTTCCTTTCATAAATATTTTTTCGGATACATTTGTAAATAGAACAACTTGTGTACTGGAATTACTTGTACACGAGTAACCATTGAAAGATAATGGCGAACGTTATTGTTTTGCTGTTATGATATTTTTTATAACGCAAAAGTATGATCGTGCCTCGATTCCAAACCAAGTTCGGCTTATATTGATTTTCCGCGCTTTGATATCTATGTCCGGAAAGGTTACTTATTTGCGTGACCCGCACCTTGTATTTGAGTATAGCTACAAACGAAAACAATTGCAATGAATGAATTACTAAAAGCATTTTGCTTATGTAAATAATGTTTTATAGATAAGAAATTTAAAAAAAAAGTTTGTTTAACATTAAAATAAGTATATTTCAATAACTTATCCAAATATCAAAAAATCTTTATTATGTTTAATAATTCTTATACTATAATGTATATACGAAAGAATTTACAGTGTACTGTTAGAATCGAATTATTGTTAAGTATATAAAAATGAATTGCAATCAAAGATGATCATTCTTTAAATTTATGGATGGCAAATCTTCGGAAAGTTCCCATTTTTATGAAACTTTTAAGATTTTCTTTACCAAGTGAAAATAATCTACTAAGAATTATAATTATAATTATAATTAGCGAATATACTACAAAATCATTGTTTATTATAACTTATATACATAGCAAGTATTATTGTTTTCTAACTCTCTGATAGTTTGTTTGAAAGTGTTTATAATATCTGTATTTGTTTGATATAATTCTTATAAAAATTCTGTTTTTTGAAAAATTTAGAAAATTTATATGTGTATTACTTTGAGTTGGATTAATCAAATTTAACATGTGGTAAAATGTGAATTTTTTGTATTATGTAATCTAGTTAAGCAAATATTATAGATGCTCGCGTGTCCTTTCATCTACATGTATAAGTTGCCAGAGTTGTCAGTGGTTCTCAATATTATGAAAACTAGATAATTTTATTTTTTTGGTGTCATTTAATAATTGATGCATTTTAATTTTGTACCAGGACAATACTTTTATTATCTTACTTTGTAAGGTACAAAATAAATACTTTTATAAAAAATATAAATCCACAATACAGTACGTGATGTATAAATTACATACACGTATGTAGATATGATCGGTAATATTATGTTAGAAAAATATGTTACATGTTCTTCTGGTTTTGTGACACGATTGACATTGTTACATTTATGTACTTATATAATAGTTACACATTTCTCTCATTCTACAATTGTATAAGTGATTATGTACAAGTCTTACTCTGAAAAATAATGTAACAGAGGTACCATTGAAGTACACAAGTTCTACAAGTTCTACAAAAAAAAAAAGAAAAAAGAAAAAAATGTAAGGGACACACGTTTGTTTTGTGCAGTTTTTAAAACTCAGTTTTTATAGTTTGGTATAATGTCAGAGGAACTATTGTACTTGGTATGCATGTTACGACATTTCTTTACTATTTTTAAGACTAAAATTTGTGCTCTACAAAAATGACAATGTTGTACATACATTACACATACTGTAACGACATTTGTACATACATACTGTAACGAAAATTAAATAATTTCAACTTAGAAAATACAATTGAACATAATATTCGTACATTAATACTTATGATTTTTATTTTCATCAAGCTCTAATTTTCCTCTTAATCCATCCTTTTTTAAGTATATTGCGCCACTGTATAAAAAGACTAGTATTCACAGAAACTATATTTCTGAGAGTAGCCTCTATACTTTTGCAATATACCAAGGAATGTATAATGTTAGATATTGCGAATTAATAAATGTCTTTCTAGATAAAACACTCGATAATAATAACTTACTTGGGCAAATATTACAAACTAAATGCAAGAATAAATATATGTGGTATATAAATTTGTTTAATCCAAAGGGATAGCATTAAACATATCGTCTATTTTTTGGTGCTTTACGACATCTTTGTCTTCCGAAGATCGCTATTATACAGATAATTATTGTTGCTATCAACACTGCGCCCACAGCCCAAACTGCCTTACTAGTACTAATCTTTGGTTTCTTATCTTCTGTTGTATCTACGCTATCAAGTAGTGATATATCAAAAGGAACTTCAGTTGTCACTGTTGCCTGTAATATATTACGGTTTTCTAGCTTTCCTTCTGGTATATGTATAGATGATTTAGATTCTAAATTTTTATTAGAATTAGTCACAGTATTTATAATACTTCTTCCGTCATTTTGTTTGCTCCGAGATGTAGTATTTGTCAGATTTGGTTTTGAGACCACACTTTTAGGCGTAGTGGTGGTTGGAATAGTAGTAGTAGAAGTAGTAGTAGTTGTAGTAGTAGTAGTTGGAGTATTTATTTCTGCAATGATCTTCTTTTCTAATTCCTCTAATTCTGACTCTTTGGCAGTAACTGCTTTGTATTGAAAATCTTCTTCCAGGTCATCAATAAAATCTTCCAGTGGCGAGAAAAACGACATTAATGCGCTCGATGAAATTTGATCTATTTCTAAATATTTATTGAGTATTTTCATCCAATTATCGGCACTTCCTCGTTGGATTACTCTCCTGTTACAAAGACAGTTATAATTAATTCTATTCTCATAAAACTATTACAAAATTCTTATTTATAAATAGTACCCACAAAAACTCTAAACTTATTTGATTCCTTATGATTGAATCATATCTAACTTCCGTGGATTCCATCAGATATTCATACAACTGAAAAGCTAATATTGTACCAACTAGTTTTCTGAAAAAATACAATATTCAATAATATTATGAATACTGATATATTTACGTGTATTATAATCTCGATAGTTTTATTATTACTTACGGCAAATATGGCTTATTACTTGTTATATGATCATCATTTAAGAACGTAGGCAGTTTAGCCTCATTAGAGCTGAGTCCTTCATATTCCTCTCTAAAATGTTTTTATAATTTACCTTAAGAAAAAGTATCGAAATATATTTAATTTAAATTTAGGCTTTCAAAAGATTAGTACCTATATTTCCACCAAGATGATATTAAATCTTCTGAATTTGTTATTTTTTTTTCAATAGCATTAATTCTCCACATATCTACAGACATGTAATAAGCAATGCGTGGAAGTGTATTCAATGCGGTAATCATAAGAGATACAATTAAGCGTTGATCATTATCGGTAGAATTATCTATGATGTGGGTGTAATTTAACCAAGCGGGACTCGCAGCTAAAATACCGAATAGTTCTGACACGCCTTCTTCTAGAGCTATAAATAACATTTGAATATTATTTCTACTAAGTCAAATATATTGTATATATATTCAATATTTGTATATTTACCTGAATACCGATTAGCTATATTAAGTACCGGAGTGTTTTCGACAGATAATTGATTGAACATAATCTTCCCTACGTTTTTATGAGCAGAGAGGAAATTGCTTATAGTAGGCTCAAAACAAGTAGATACTCTATAGTATGAAAATTCAAAGGTTTAAATTGAATTAAGTAATTAAAACAGACAATTTAAAATATTTAATTGCAAAATACCGCAAAAGATCTTGACAGAAATTAATTAATTTTGCTGGACACTGTTGGTTGAAATAACTTTTGTCCCAAAAATCTGCTTGTGGCACTTGATGTAATATTTGTGTACTCATTGTAGAAGCAACTTTGTACATTGATTTTCCAATGAGTTTCTACAACCATTTAACAAATTTAGTTAATTTTTGTATAAGTCATGTATTGTCGAAGGAACAAATAAAACCATTTTTTACCTTCTTCCATAAATTTTTTGTAATATTGAACATAAGATCTGGATAAGGTGTCACATCAACTGCTACAGGAATCCAGTCACTACCTTGTAAGGATCCTTTTATAAAAATATTAAAGTTATAGTAATAAACGTAATTTATTTGACATATTTGTATAATCCAACAGTGTTTTAGCTTACCAAGTAAATCTACTGGTATTGTGTTATCCATTGTAATGTTGTATTTGTGAGACAAGTTGATTATTGCAAATCGTAATATTTTTTTATGGAGAGTAGCAATTTTACTCCATTCATATTTAATTTCTTTATAACCATTACTATATCCACTTAAGAGTTCCCAATATTCTACAATATCTTTAGCACCTAAAATCATAATAATAATAATTTAATAAATAAGAGAATAAGAAATTAATTTAAACGTTACTTTTAAAAAATATTAACCATTTGCTTTGGCTGCTTTATCAGCAAGTGGTAGAATAATCGAAAAATTTTGAACTAATGGAGCTTGCTCTTCATGCCATGTTGTCCAGACAGTACTTTTATTTTTAATATTATTACTATGAGACAGTATATGTTCCACATCTAAAATTTTAAATATTGTTAATAAATTCTCACTTAATGTTACTTTATAATGAACTGAAATATATATTACCTTTTCTTGTGTGATTATTCAAAGCTCCTTTATGAACTGTAGATAATCTCAGAAATTCTGCAGCCCCAGAGAAGTGAACAAGCTAGAAGTAAACTTCTTTTATGTCTATTTAAACAGATGTTTTTGTTAAAGTAAAAGAGAATAATTTTTCTTACTGTTTTATAGTCTTCATTGTGTAATAGGGCATCACCTATTTTTACAGCAACATCATATTTATATTGCAAAGAGTGATCACTGATATTAGCTTTTGAAATATTTGCTATTTCATTTCTTTGCAAATTTTTGAAAACAGCATAAGAAATTAATTTTTCTTCCTATAAGAAAACGAGTATATTTATAAATTTTTGCATATTTTAAAAGTTAAGGATTGTATTTATAACTTGTAAAACTTACCCATACTGATAATGTTTCATTCGATGGCGAATTAATGAATGCCCATTCCGCTTTGGCCGTATCTAAACAAGCATCCTCATAGTCGAATTCGGTTAACTTTACGAAAGCTCTAATATTTTTATCGTTCTCTGTTGCGATCACGCAAACTATCAGATTAAGTATTATGCAAACCCATTTTAATGGCATCCCTTTGCACTAAGAAAACAAAAAAGACATTATCATCCGTAAGAAATAAATAGAACATTTATTATGTCATGACAAAAGGTGTTGAAAAAATCTAAATCTTAAAGTTGTAAAAGTTTATTTAATTTCTTGCGCTAATTTTATTAGAGATTTTCATTTAGCTTCTTATTATTAACACTTTGTTCTTTGCTTATAGCCGAGTGCTTCGTAGCGGAGACTACGAAGTGTAAAAGATTAATGTATTTTGAGAAAATAATTATTCCTATCTGAGTCATTTCATCACCGTCATTCATTTCTACGAAATCCGGGATTTCTACGAAATTTTCTACGATACTCACATTCCACTCATTGTATATCATATCAAGTACTATTACATTATTGAAATATCAGAAACATTAAAACTTAACAATATTTAAATCACGTTAGCAAACCTCACTAATTGTAAATATGCCTGCCTTTCCTATATCTCATTTCTATGTATCAATTTCATGCTTGTTTAATAATGTATTTGATGATTTATAACACTATCATATTTGACCTTCCTATACATCTACATGTAACTTGTCGCTGCGTTTCTACGAAGGATGTTACAGCGAAAAAAATTCAATAGCGATGTTATTATGCATGTAAATCGGCATAACTTAACGATCGTAATCGTGAATCGACCAATTGTTGATTGCCCATAGTCACACCACATTCGTATATTTAATTGCTTTCAATTTGATACTCTGTCTGAGCAAATAATCATGACCATCAAGGCGGTTATGGGGTTTGTTGACATATTAACCCTACCAACAGCCAATCCGTTTTCTTTCGTGCATAGACGTTATTTTGCATTATCGATAGAGAAGTCTAGTGAAAATAATGAGAACTAACGCACTATCAGTTAATTAACAGGTGATCAAAAATTAATCCAGTTATTGTTAATTATATATATATATATAGCTACTGCTAGTTTATTATATTGTTTTTTATTACTTATATTTTTTGTCATTTTTACCTTATATTTATTTCCATTTAGCGTTATTCAAAATTCGATAATTATTTTCAATGGTAATATTACAAGAAAAATAATTTTTTAAATGTAACTATATATATTGTTTTCGAAATAATTATCTGCCAAAGTCCAGTTTCTATAAAAACTATACATATATTTTTACTATAGTATGTACGTCGTAGTTTTCAATGCTATCGTTAATTTCAGGCTCATAAACACGTATCCGCGTACCAAAATTAAACGGATTTACAAGTTGCCGTGTGCGTGCAAAAATAGCTGTGTACAACTGCAATAAGCGATCTAGTAGTATGTTGGCTACATACTTCATCGCGGATTTAGGGCATTCGCATATTGATGTTAACATTACATGATTTCGATAACAGCGTAAATGCAACGTGTATTTATTTTGATAAACATTAAATATTGTAATAATGGAATTCAAACATAAAATACCGCGAAATTCGAATTATGAGATCCTTCTTGGAATTGAATAATAATTTGAAGTATCACAAATTGTCTCATAAAGATAGTGGTAATATTAATTCATATGTCGATTTAATTGTATTGAATGGAGAAGAGCAAATTTTTGTTTGACTTCCTTCTATGAAATTTGTTTAATCAATATTCAAAAATCAAGTATTTTCAATAGACATTGTTATTAATAATAAATTAGTACAAAATTCTAAATTCAGATTAAAGTTAGAGGTTTTTTCTAGTTACAGTTAATACTAAAATAAATGTTAAAAGTTAAATTATTATTAAACCTAACAAAAAAATATTAAAAATAAATGAATAGAAGAATACTTGGATCAGTGACAACAAAACAAATTTAGTTTAATTTCTTGATTTTGCTCACCTTTGCTAGCCGAGCGTTACTTCGCTCGACGTTCACGTTTCTGATTCTGTTTCTGATCAGCACCTTCGATACGCACAACGAATAAAGATCGACTGCACGGTACAGCGAGTTCAATAAGCAGGAAAAAAGAGTGAAGGTACACACGCAGAGAGGTGATTCGCGTCCTTCTTGTTGGAACTTTTCTACTATTCGAGAAACTAGAATTCTAACTACGAGGGGTTAAAGTTTATTGCAGAAAATGCAAACTGAAATAAATCAAATGTGATTCCACAGATGTACATTAATAATGTCACTATCTGACTTTTATCTCACTAGAAATGATGCACAACGTATTGCGCGTACACTGGATGACTATTTGTACAAAGTTCGCACGATCCTAATTCTTTTACATCATGCCACTCGCCTCGGTGGCAGTGCATATTGTAGCGTGTGACGTGACATACAGTCACCGAGAATGTAGCTTCATAAAGATAGTGCACTTTACGATTTTTTGATCTCTGTCGAATAGAAGTAACTTGTGTAGATAAATGAGAATGCTTGTCGTTAATGTAGAAATCTATATTAACTAGGGTCACTTTTCATTTCACCACAGACAAAAGAGTATATAAGATAGAACAGATGTATCAGACGAATCCTATCTATGGATCTACTATCTAATGCACTATCACTCACTAAGGACAGTAGAAATTTAAGATCTTACGGAATCAAGCGTCACGTATTCTGAAATACCGATCACGTAAAAAGTCAGAGGCTTTGGCACAGACAAGATAAATTTTCCACCAATATAGATACATACGAAATTTGGCACGCGGTGTATAAGAAAACTCTAACCTAAGGTAAGAAATATATCACAGAAATATATTTCGCGCGAGTACTACTATACATTAATACATTAGCATTCGTGGTCACTATGCTCGTCACAAATAATATACAACTAGTCGCCTATGCTGCTTGGGACCATTCGTCCTTGGACATTGTAGGTGACTATAGAGGAATGATAAAATATGCGACTCACCGACCGCAGATTGGTACACCATGTCAGAGCAGCTTAGGATTAATTGGCGATTTCATACTCGAAATATCGTTGTAATAGTCCATTCTCTCATGCTTAGATGTCCTGATGTCCGCATTCATTATCACTTCTCTTCTTTTCATGCAATTTCTTCAAGATACACTCGCAAAATCGCGGATGCCCGAACGTACGTTACGCAGGATCAAATGCAAAAATACGCGGGAAATTGTACAAATTGTACGAATACGCAGGATCATATGAACGCAGAAATAGATTGTTAGAGTTTATCACATTCTTGAAAAAAGTTGTTAAACAATTATAATGTAAGGATTACATTATTTAATAGATGTTAAATATTTATTTCAGACAAATTTTGAGTTGATTAATTTGTTATAACCTCAGAAAAATCGTGTAATAATAGAGTTATTATTAGAATATTTAATATCTATTAACCCTAAATATTTCATCTAATAATGATATTACTGAAAAATACTTATAAATAATTATTGAAAATTTAATGTTTAGTATTTAATAGTTATTTAAAAAAATAGTAAATAAAATATAAGTAAAATAATAATAAAATTCTTTAAGAAATATTAGATATAGATCAATTTCAGAAATTCACGATCTATACTGATATTACAAAGATATTGCAATTCCCGATTTAATTATAATTAATTAATTTAAATTTTATTCTACATATAATATTTAACCAGATTTCATGCACTTTTATATAGATACGCGCACGTTTTCTCTATCTTCAATAGTTATGTCGGTCTCAAACAGAGGGCACTAGAATCACTTTTGTATTTTTTGGTCGATAAAACAGTTTGCATTAATACTCTCTACCATTTTAGAGTTATTGAATATTGAAATTATACTTTTATTAGCAAGAATAATTGAAGACGTATTAATGAAAATCCTTTGTTTCTGTAAACTTTATTTATTTCCTAAATATAAAACTATTTCACTATATCACAATAAACTATGATACACGTACAAGAATGATGCAGAACCTTAAGATAAATACTATTTTAAGATAAAAACGTACAACAGATCGATCTCGTTCATGTGACGAACTTTCTCGTAAAATGCACGATCTACGAGGGGGGGAAAAAAAAGGAAAAGAAAAAAATCGATATACATATATGATAACTTGGTGCTTTCTCCACGCGAGTATGAGACTTACAACGATTTAAGAGTATCGAACACAAGATGAAACTCATGTCTTGGTTGTTCAACAGTTGCAGTATACCCCATAAGCATAACATTTTGTTTTTGAATTTCTCTACCGCGTATTTTTATTTTCTTTACGGCAATATCGATAGTTTGGAAATAGTATACACAAGTAGCATTTGTAATACTGATATACTTGAACAGGTACACGCCTGTTTCACTTTAACTATTGTTACCATTTATTTATTAAGTACCGGAGACTATTTGTACTAGGGCTTGAAATAAAGGATATCTGTTTCCGTGAATCATTCAGCAAGATCAATTTAAAAGACCATGCGTACCAACATTTCGATTTTCTATTTATTTCATCGTTGAGATTGTATCAATAAAGTTATCCTTTATTTAACACGTTTTTCCAAGTCGAGTAAGTGGATGACTTCGTTTAATTTTAAGATTTCGGTGCTCGTCCCTTTCGTCATTTAATTTCAATGTACCAAATAAACACGTGTCATTATATTTCCAATTCTTGCTTTCATACTTCGCTCGTACTTTGTATGTCGAATTAAAAAAAAAAAAAAAAATCATCGAGAACCATTTTCTTTTCGATTGCTTTTAGAGTAATTACTTTTACGGTAATGGTTGTTTCAGCGTAACTGTTCTCTTTCTTCGCTGTATTTGAAGTTCTTCTTTCTGAATTTCCTTTTACGTATTTTTATAGTAAGTTTTCTGTTATAAATGGTCGAATTCGAAAGCCGCGTTCGCGACGCCATTCATAGTAGGAATTTCCGGTTTCTTCTCGCCAACCATTTGCCATTTTGTATTCTTCGAGTCGTTTTCTTCTGCTCCTTCCTTATTCTTCGCTTTCTTCTCTTGCTCCAATAACTGGCGGTCCTGCCTGTGTTCCGTGTACAGCCAGCTATCCGAAAAAAATTCATTTTAGTTGAAAAGATTGATATAATAACACCAATCATTCCTCTATGAAGAAATCTCAACTCCTAAAGGACCGAATTATTCTACGAAATTCGGTCAAAAATAATGGTAGCTACGATAAAGTATCGTGATCAAAATTACAATAAAATTGGTACATATTTTAAGAGACACGAATATACACGGTTTCCCATAAGTTCAGTGGATAAAGTAGAATCGTGTTAGTACGTGATGAAGGAAATTTTATACAAGTCCTTACATTAGCCCTTATTATTAAGGGGCTAATAATAAAAGAGGACTAATTATTCGTGTATGTTACTTCAAATTAAAGGACACAGATAACGTTCTCACCATCATCCGTATCATATCGATATCGAATAAAATTAATAAAAAAGATGGCCTCTTGGTCGCCATGGCGAAGCCTCGAGTGGCACACCGGAACCGGAAGGACTTACAAAAATGCGACGACCGCTGGCATAGTCATGCAGGCGCCGACGATGAAGAACGTCCCCGGAAACGTTTTCATGGTCGCAGCATAAATGGAGCTGTACATGGGTCCGTAGATGAGCGGCATCAGAGATTCGCAAACACCAAGCAACGAGTTCACCTTGCCTGTAACAATGAAAAATCAGCCAAATCACGTCTTTCCGCCATTTTCAGTTCGCGGATTAATTGGTTAATTCCATTATCCCATTATCCGAGATCAAATGACGGTGCTGGAAGGGACGAAAGGCAGAAAAATGATCTCGAGATAGCTGGGTTGTTAACCAGACAGGAAAACGTCGTTAGACGTTGTTCGAATCGAAAGAAAAGCCTGCGGAAAATTAGTTGGAAACGGTGTCGGATCGACACGAAGACACAATGAAACAAGATTATCCCATTTGCGCGGTTCTGAGAGAACGCGCGAAGGTAAACGCGTTTCAGAACGATCCGATTAGGTCGAAGGCCGTATGTCACGCTGGACCAGTTTAGTTTCTAATTTGTGGTATCGTGTTTCGAGTGCTAGGGGATAAATGGATCGAATTGATGAGACGTATAGGGTGTCCGGCGAGACTCAATTGGTAGCTTTAGGATGATAGAAGGTAGATAAAAATTACTGTCAGCAAAGGAGTATTCCTTCTGTTTGTCTTCTATTGCTCTGTTTTTCTATTATTCTGTTTCGTGTTTCTTCTATTTACGATGCACTTCGTTGCTTTAACGAGTTGCTGGTAACTCGCCTTGTTTGATAACTCGTCTTGATATCGCGTTATCACAGATATTTATGATCGAAAACACCTTAGTTCCCGGAATAACGAGATATGTCGTCGAGCTGGATGACCTAAGCAACGTCACAGGTACTCGATGGATGGAGTACCGTCGTCCAATCACAAACACGATATCTAATTTAAAATAAGTGTATTTGGAATCTTTAGGACGTCTCTACATCTGGTACTATTTTTTAAATTTATGACCTAGTTTAATGTCGAGGACTTACAAAATATAATTTATGTTAAAAGCTCTGGAAGTCGAGATCACGGAATGATGTATTTATCACTGGATTTAGCGAAAATTATGCTAGAACGTTCTTCTTAAATTTATTACAATATATTTCACACGCTATGACCGACCAAAATTGAATATTGTTGTTCGTTTCCCGAGAAAACAGAAGGTTCCATGATCCAGTCCAAGTATGGTACCAATATCGGATCCACGGTCCAAGTTTGGTACCAATATCGGATCCACGGTCCCAGTTTGGTACCAATATCGGATCCATGGTCCAAGTATGGTAGCAATATTGGATCCACCGTCCAAGTGTGGTAGCAATATTGGATCCACCGTCCAAGTATGGTACCAATATCGGATCCACGGTCCCAGTTTGGTACCAATATCGGATCCACGGTCCAAGTATGGTAGCAATATTGGATCCACGGTCCAAGTATGGTAGCAATATTGGATCCACGGTCCAAGTATAGTACCAATATTGGATCCACCGTCCAAGTATAGTACCATTATTGGATCCACCGTCCAAGTATGGTGCCAATATTGGATCCACCGTCCAAGTGTGGTAGCAATATTGGATCCACCGTCCAAGTATGGTACCAATATTGGATTCACGGTCCAAGTATAGTACCAATATTGGATCCACAGTCCAAGTATGGTACCAATATCGGATCCAGGGTCCAAGTTTGGTACCAATATTGGAACCACGGTCCAAGCATGGTACCAATATTAATTTCTGATACCGTCCTATGTCGAATTTTAAAAAATGCACGTAGGTGATCCGGGAATTTTCGAGACACCTACATTTCTAATACCACTCGACCTAGTTCTACTTTGCCTAGTGACATTTTTCTCTACCTTCTATCGTTTCACGGCTTAATTTCCTGTAATACCTCGTACACAGAATTGGAGATTTAAAAATCCCGATGTATGGAAAAATTAAAATCCTCCGAAGTTAGAATTTCATCGAGGTTAGGAAACGATATTTTGATCAATCGAAAATTATACCGGAATCGAACGGTTTCGTTAAATTTACATCTGCCCTACCCTTCGCCATTTTACGTCAGGGTGTACAAAGCTCGTAGTATTTTTATCGTGGCTGTAAAAAAGGCTTCCGTTATGTGTCTAATTTATGCATAGTTTACGAGCTGCGTTATGTAAATCGGACTTGGATATTCTGTTAATTATATAAACGAATATCCTTAATACTCGTAATGTAATGACCACGTTCACGTAACGGTACCTGTTGCATGCTTCTCGATTTATGAAAGAAAAAGAAAGGAAGATGTCCGTTCCGCAACATAATGTACAATGTCTAGGTAATAAATCTGTGTTCACTTACCAAGCTCGCCTGTAGACACGAGTTTAGATGCTATCGAACGCATTGCTATGAAAGATGTGCCATTGACGATCTCGACGATGGCCGCTGAAACGAGGGTCCATGAAAACAGGTGTTGTTTTATTTCATCGATAATTTTATAACTCAATACGTTTGTAATAACGATAACGACTCGATTGCATTCAACCTTCTATAACTAGAATTATCAGAACGAGATATTATAATTGTCTACAACTGTTTTATCCTAGTTTGGAATTTAAAAATTAATAATCATTACAAGGCAATCGATCAATATTAACAAATACCATACCTAGTAGGTATAAGAGTTAAGTTAACTAGACAAATAACATAGATATTAAATTTTAAATCACACGGTGCCACCGAGAGTTAAAAGATCGTAATATATGAAAAGTAAAATGGCGTCAGTGAAGCTTAATATAAATTGGCGACGCGTCAAGGTTCAACGTGCTACTTTCCAATTTTCGTACAATCGTTTACCTAAATAAATCATCCAATCAGTGATGGCGAAGGCGTAGACGAAACCAGCTAATATCTTGCTCATAGAACTCATGATCCCCACGATCGCGTCGTCGATCTTCAAGATGTGACTGAACACACCGACAGACACCGCAGTTCCTGTAAACAATGACAACATGTTTGAAATTGATTAAATGCACGGGAGATTGAAATCATCGTGGAGGATTTAAAGCCTTTCACCGTCAACGGGCTAGTGTTGGAATGATTGCGAAACCATAGTCGATTAATAGTAATTTTGCTCTGCACCGTTACTAACGATTTTCACGTCTTTCAGTTACTTCAAGGATAGAACGATTGCAAGATTCAATAATCGTACGATAGATTGGTCGGATCGTTGATTGCCCATTAATCTACGTTTCGACATGACCTCGTGGTTATGGGTTTCTAGGTTTTCGCGATTTACTCGAAAACGATGACCGACAATTCCGCTTGGCAACAATAGTATTCGTTATATAATCGATTCTCGTTGCTTTCGTGGATCGTACAGGTGGAAAACAAAAAAAAAAAACGATCATTGAACGACGTGTAAGTTTCACGTGGGTTTGTCGAGGTCTCTTAAAAAAAAATCCAGAAAAAGAGCAATAAGAAAGACTATGTAAGACCGAAGTAATGGTGATTACTGGCCAAACGATAGCTCCTCGTATACTTATTTCAGAATTTTTCTTGATTCGAACAACACGCGATAGGGATGAGAAACGAGGGAATTTCATCGAAACTAGGATTAACAATTTCTAATATATGAATCTCCTATTAAAAACGAGGGAATTTTATCGAAACTGGGATTAACAATTTGTAATACACGAATCTCCCATTTTCCAAATAGAAGAAATCCATGAAAAAGAGACCAGAAATTTATTTTAGATATAAGAAGTTAAGAATTAATCGTGTTTCTTGGCACTGAAATTTGAAAGTATTTTTTAACATTGAACTAATCACGTTCACTTGTGTTTATAGATTTATTGATTATTGACTTATTGTAGTCAATAAGTACTTATTATAGATTCATTGACTTGTTATAGGTTTATAGATTTAAATATAGTGTGCACAGTTATATAATAATTAAAATGATATAATAAAAATAATTACGTTTCCACCTGAACAATTTTGCCAAAAGCAGCAGTATATTTTTAATAATGGAAATCATCTTCACTCGTTTAATAGTTCTAATATCAAAGAAACGTAATATTTTTTAACAATGATTTCTTCGCAAGTCATTTTTATTAAATGTGATCTCACAGAAATTTTTATTATAAAATACAGTTGTGCTTGTAAGATAATAGGATAGTAATCAGGATAACAAACTATCTGCATGAGATTGCATTTTAATATATAATTATACATAAATATAAAATTCAAACTCATGTACAAGGTTTCATATAGACAATCATCGCCTCGAGCTTTATTCCTTAGCATATTTTCTTCTGTTTAATAAACGGTGTTCTTGTTTTTTTTTTTTTACAAGACGTAGTGTGCTAAAAACACGAATATTAGTGGACTGGTAAATATAATTATGCAAATCATCGTAAGGATCGCAGTGTTTTCCATACTTTTAACGCTCGATGGTATCACCGTATAAAATGTTATTTATCTTAACTCCGATAATACCGATAATTAAATATAAAAATAGCTAACAATAAAAGTGTCAAAAATAAATCAAAATATATCAAAAATACAAAAAAAATTCGTCATTTATCTTGCATCATATTCATTTACTTTACGATAAAACAACGCTATTTTTGCAAAACTGTAATAGTCCATTCAAAGGAGCCTTTGAAAAATTAGCACAATAAATATAATAAATCAGTAAGCATTCTATTATAGAATCTTTTCCACTGGAAACAACGCGAAACGCGAGTGGAGATAATAATAATTTACCTCGAATCGTCGTAAATAAATTCTAAAACAAAATAATCATGCCTGAAAAAAGAAAGGTTCAACTTTTTATCCAACGATTCCACTCTCTACTCACCAATTAAATTCGTCACCATGGCGAACGTGGTAAACATGCTGAACATCACCTCGTTCCAATGGTACCTGTATCTCATGTAGAGGTACATCACTGCCATTTCACCTGCAACAACGATTATCCACCATTGACCAGGAATCTCGACCTATCTCTCGCTCATCTTTCGCTCGTCATGAGCGAAAGACCCAGAGGAATGTAAACAATTATTTTATATCGTGTAACCGTGGCTCGTGGAAAACATGTCGAATTCCTTGTACCAAGGACGATAATTGAATTTAGTCGAAACTACAGCCATCGTGAGCGTTGTAACTCCACGAACCACGGGTTACAATGTTCTAAATTCAATGTGGGTGGAACGATTCCGCTTGCACAGCATGAAAGATCATGGTCAAAACGTTTTTCAGAATTGGCAGCTCGTGTCCACCGCTACCTCTGCAATGTTGCTTCGTCGTTCGCCGTGCGTAATGGGCTTCAAAGTTGAAAATGACACGCGGAAGAATTGCTTAAAGTTCGGGATCGAAGAAGAGGAAGATTCGTCCGTCACGTCTGTGGTACTTCGCTTCCAAAATTCTCCGATCTTCAAGGCTGAATCGGCAGGATAGAAACGGTAAAGAAACGAAGAACGAAATCAAATCTCGGAGAACAGAGAAACGATAAAAGTGCCATTTTTTCCATTTTTCGTTGCTTCTCTTTTCTCGAGTGTCACATGAAAAATATGTTTGTTGATCGAGTCGAAAACAGATCTTCGACGTTATCGCGTACCATGATTCAGCGATAAAATTCGAAACGAAAACACGATCGCGTGTGTTTCGACCATAACTTTGGCATTTAGAAAATTAACTACCAGAAGGGGCATTTAAAAATGCTGACTTCATCTTTTTCATCGTTACTGGGTAATATCCTGGAAAACGGTGGCTATTATGAAATTTACTTTTTTTTCATCCGTATCTATTCTTCCTTAGAACTCATTTTTGCCATAATCGCATTGTTGGAACAATCGAGCTTGGATTTTCGCACGCTTAATGAACGACTGGGAGCGAGTAGCGATGGTTTTGGCAATGTTCGAGGACCAAACTTCGACTGATAAACGATCGATGACGATCGTAGACACGAAATGACGACGAGAGCATCAAAATGGGAAGAAGTTTTTTTTAATAGAAATGCGAATTCCACGTTTGAGTCGATGTTAAACAGAGTGGATCGTGGAGCAATAGAGCGAGGTTTTTTCTCTGTTTGCCCAGAAAATCGTCACTTTTGGTATTTCGGTACGTCGATTAGCATTTCGACTCGTGCAAGTTTATTGAGACAATTCGAATAACTTAACAGTCTTGAATGTTGTTGGAAAACTATAAACACACGGAGCTATCCCAGGCGATTTCGAGGCGTTATTAAGCTGTATTACATAAGGATATACATGGAGTTACACAACAAGTTCGTTCATCAGGCTCTTCAGTTAATCGTTTCCGTCGAGTTTAGGCTATTATCACATCATTGCCTCGCTTTTCTCACGAGCATTCCTCTGTCAAAGACAATTCCTGGATTCCCGCTTTATCCAGCAATCTAGCTTTTGAGCTTTATGTAACTGCACAATCTCGATGTTAGTCGAATTTATTGTACGAAAATCTATCCTACGATGGAAATACGATCGAGTTTATATACCGATTTGATATGATCGAACTTTGATCTATGTCATGACGTAGATAGCAGTGGAACCAGAATTTTGAGAATTGGACACGAAGAGATTAATTTATTTTTGCTGTCTCGTTACACGTGCTTCTTTGGCCAGCCGTAAAAACAATCGTGGTAATCCGAGGAATTATTTTTGCACGAAATTGACGTAATCGACGAATAAGTAAATTCTTTCTTATGGAAAAATTGAGGATAGCCAAAAGTTGTCGGATAAAATTGATCACGTTTCTTTCCATGGAATTTGCCAATTATCTTATTACTATCGATCTGATTTGCATAAAGTCCATACGACTTGTGTACTAAATTATTAATTAAATTTCGTTTAATTGGAGAATTACGTTCGAAGTCTGTCGAAAATGTAGAACATTGTTTGGGAATCGCTGTGGATGATTGGGAAAAAATAGCTATGAAAAGTTCCACCGTATAGAGGATGAAAAAAAAGTTGCTACATGATTACGAATCGTCGTCAAAGAATGATTGATTCTAATGCCTGCATTTAATTCCCTCCTTATCGCTCAATTAGATCGTGCCTTCCTGAATTCCCCGCTGTATATAATTACGAAATTAAAAACTTGAACAGCGGAGGAACTAGGCAAAGTGTAGTTTTTGATCGAATTACGCCGGCTATGTATCTCGTTATTTTAAATAAAACGGGAATTCTGATTTACCGCGATATAGTAGTCGCTGAGATCATCGGTTAAAAAGAAGCCAAATAATAAATTGCAAATTAATAACGTCGCTATAGTGGCATCAGAGATTGTAAAAAATTCAGGTGATTCATTGGGTAAATAAATTGATCGATTTTCCAATCAATTTAATAAAAGGATATTATACTACACTAATTATATACGACTTAGTATATAGTATATACTATAATTATATACACTGATTATACTATACTATTATACTAGACATTTAATTACAATTAAATTCAAATTAATTCAAATTTCTCTTCGTTCACGCGCGTGACGTATTCTATATTTGTTAATATTTGCTATAAATTGTAAATCGATAATTTCAATTAGACTCTGTATACTCATGTCGTTCGCGATACAATTGTGAAACCTTCTTGAAAGGATAATATAAGAAAGGAACGAAAGAAAGTACCACGAAAAAATTCCAGGAATTACGAATTAATTACGAGATATTTATAAAATAATTAAAAAGGAGATTTTCGTAGTATCTCAAAGAAAATTTCAGGATATCAGAAGGAAAGTCAGCTATGAGAACGAATTAGGAACCGAATCCACACCTAACAGCCCTGACTCGGATCTTCTTTCTGCGGTTTCTATCAATTCCCTTCGCCTGGAACACATAAACTTTGACGTTTGACCGATTTTACGATCTCGTTACACCATAGGAGCTTCTATAACCCTTCAAACCACCAGGACTAGACCGATTTCCGACGGTCAAAGATCTGAAATTACATCAAGCTACTTAGGCCATCAGACCGCATTAGCATACGTGCGCACAGATCTAGTTCTAATAGGTATGTTGACTTCGCAGACGCACTACCGGTCATAAATTTCAGGCCACCGTCTTTATCATCACCCTTCTACATCTCTACGTCTCGCACATTTGCAGTTCCTCGATAATTCTGTGGTAATAAAGAAAAACCACGTCACAGATTTTCACTTTCGAGGTATCGTCGTTTAAAATCCCCAACATCAGATCTTATTCTTTCTAACAGCATTCGATTAAATTGCGTAATTTTTTGGAAGAAACAAGATTTGTCTCTATTTATTCTCTTCTTTCTTTCTAATTAATTCTCATTGATCATTTTTTTCTTTTTCTTTTAATTTTCGCATATTTTCTTCTGTCTCAGCCTATTTCATCGATGAAACCTTTGAATCCACCACTCTCCTCAGCTCCCTGAGAATTTTTGCAAGAGAAAGAAACAGGTAGAGAAATATTAGAACGTTGTGCAATGCGACAGCAAGGATTTCTTGAACGGATTCATGGATTCGGATTACACGCAACAAAATACTTTATCGATTATCGTTACAAGATAAGTATCGATTTATCGTTTCTTTCGCCTCGATCGTCCTTCCATCGTGGCTCTTGCTCATCGGTAATCGTGATTAACACCGTGGCGATCGTTTCGCGATGGTTCCCTTGGATTAATATCGCGGCCACGTGCGAACCAATGTCGAAATGGAGTACTTGAACTCGATCGAATTAACAGCGACGATTGATTTAATTAGCGCACGCCAATTGCATTCACCAATTACACAATATCTCGGATGATTGATATTAATATGCCTCCTGCAGCTGACGTATCGACGGATCAATTGTCTTACCGTTTCCAGTTCCTTAATGTCGAATATTCCTGTAGCCACTGTTTCATTCATAAAATTCTACGAGCGCGTGGTAACTCGACGAGGTATCATCATAATGTGACAATCGTTCGGTATGTTTCTGAATTAAACTAAATATACGTTCGAACGAGATCGCCTTGCGAGTTACAATCGCAGAGTTATAAATTAATATGTTTATATATTTTCAGCCGAGATTAATCCGCAACTCGTGATCACGATGTACGATATTACACCTGCCGTCGACTTCCGATTATTTCGACAATTAAGAAGCAAACTACGATTATCCTCAAGGTAGTTCAGTTTTTCCACCACTCCGTTACGTTATTCTCTATGAAGACCAAGACGGTATCTCGAGGAAGACAAGAGAAACCATACGAATATGCACGGCCGTCTAATTGTTAGGCTTTGAAAATCAGGAAGAAGGCTATTACACGAAATTGTTATAAGCAGCATGATTACCCATGCCGGTGCTCTTTACAAGACGAATAAAGACGCAACGAAACATTATAATGTCCGGCGCATTAGCGGTCTAATTAAATTATGACAAGGACACTCGCCTTGAATTCTCTGTTGCAATACGAATTCGTGATGCGCTAATAATCCGTAATTGACGGATGGAACCGTATTGTCGTTCGAGATTAGCATCGTAACCGTTTGGAGAAAACGGGGACACTAAGTCCAGCCGTTTGTTCGGAAGCGTATGGATAATAGAGAAATCAGCGTTGATAAATTTAACGTTAGAATAAATTAACGTGAGTCAGCTGCGATGCTACAACCTGACCGCGAAGGTATTCAACGAGCGAGATTGACGAATTCGATTAATTGTCAGTTAATTAAGAGTTACAAATATTCTCTATACGTAATTGTTAGCGATATATCGCGAGGAAGTAGGGAAAAAAGGCACGCGACAGAGAAATTTGCAAAAGGAATTTTCTTATCCACGGATTTATCGAGAAATAAAAATCAAATGTAGATCCCATGAGAAAGAACAATTACTGCGACGTTACAAGGCTAGTTTCATGAAAGAACGGAGCCATTAATCACACTTTCACTGGCGCCCCCTGCGCTAGTCGTTGCGATTTCCATGTCGTCCGTGCATCCTCGTTCATCTCGTAGAAACACACGCATAACTGATCGATCTATCACTGATAGCCACCGTTTTTTAAACCGTGTTCTGCTCCACTCCATCTCGAGAATCTGGTTCTCTCGTGTCTCTACTCTATCTATCAATTTTCCCTCCTCGTGGTCGAAATGTCGTAATTACCGTTTGAAACGCGCTGATTACCATAACAGAACCAGCAAGATTAACGAGAGTTACGTGAAACTTTTCCCGCTTTCATTTGCCAGCTGATGCAGAGACGGATGAACGATTATGCCTGTTTTCCGTCGACCAGACGCGTGAATGTGTCTCGGCTGTCTATCGGAAAAGCGTGAAAGTCGATGAAAATAGAGATCCGGCGAGGGAAAAGTCTCTGTCCCGAGACGAACCTACGGAAAAATTCGCGTCTGACCGAGTTAGGATTCTTCAGCTCGGGTCAGAGAGATAGTTGCATCGAACTGTGCAGAGTTTCCGAGGTTTCTAAACGCTCCAGTCCTGTGTACCAATCGAGAAAAGGGTGAACGTAACTTATAGGAGTTACATGACAGAGAAATCGAACGCTAGAGAGGCAGGAGGGAAAAAACGAAAGTGTAATTACAAGCGTGTCAGATACGAAGATTGAGATACGTTTACAGGATTGAAATTTGTGAAACGAGTTAAACTAGTTTATACCCTGTCATTCTGCAGTGATCTGGTACCTCCCTTGGGAGACTTTGAGAATGTAGGAATAAATTATGAAATAGGCCCAGATCGTTAAATCTGTTTGAAATATGGCAAAAGGTGACAAGAATAACGGGAGAAAACTTACCGTAAAGCGGCCCGATCACGACCATAACGATAACCATGAGCACCAGCACCCTCTTCTGCCTGTTGTTCCTTCCCTGCTTGAACGCGACGCGGAAGGTCTCCTCGATATGCTTAAACGCGAAGAAGTCCAAAATCGATTCGCACAAGGACATCTTCTTCTCTTCCGTTTTCTCCGGTTTCTGTTTTAAGTGAGGTCTAGGGGGTTCCTTGATCACCACTAACCCGTAAACGAAGCTCAACACGTAGCACACGGTCGAAATGCTAAATACACCGTAGAAGCCTAGCTGCAGGTACAATATCCCGGACAACGCCATCCCGATCGGCACACCTAGGGACAAGAATACGTTCGCGGCACCGATTCGAAGCGTCCTCGACTCCACCGACGTGATGTCCGCGATGTAACTGAAAACACCCATGAACATGGTGAACCAGCCACCAGTCAGTGCTGGCCATAGTGCCTCGAACACGCCTGTGGCTTCCATGGGTACCTCGTGGAAGAAGTACGTGCACAGCAGCATGCTGACGCTGCTTAGAAATTCGCCAATGATGGGTAGCAGCATGCACGGCTTCCTGAGTCCTGTGCGATCGCTCCAGGCACCCATGAAGAGGATCAAGATAGTCGGTAGGCCGCTGGACAGGGCTGTTTTCCACGTCTGCATGCCAGCGACCAATTGTTGCACGGCAGTTTCCTCCATTTCGTAGCTGGTCGTGTTCCTTTTGGCCAAGGCTGTGCAGACCTCGTCAGAATAGGCCAGGTTTACCCTGCAAGCCTTCTCTAAACTTAGATTTTGCGTGGCTAGAGAGGCTAACATACAAGGAATCACGTAGCAGGCGATCATGGGCTCTACGGTGATGTTCCCGGTGAAGTAGGACCATTTTTGACGCAGTGTCATGGATTTCCAGACGACAGCTTTGTCCGAGACTACCTGGTTGCCGGTGGTGTCTCCTCGTTTCTTCTCTGTCGTCGATGAATTATTCGCGTCAGCCATCTCCTCGGTGAAGGGCAGGCCGAGTCGAATGAAACGTACTTAAGTATTCCTCCAAGTGTGCAGATCGGATTCACGGAATTCCTGGCTTGTCTATGTCATATGACTGGTTGCCGAAGTTCCGTTAACTCCTCGCCAAAGTGGATCCGATGTCTCGGTATCAGGTGTAACTTCCAAGCGGTTCCGAAGATAATTAGAATCATACGGATCGGTGTGAAGAGACGACCACGGCTGCTATCAAATACCCAGACGATCTCCAAGGATTCGACCAGGAATCCTTCCAATTGTTCGGATCATACGCGCAGATCGGACTCTTCCTCGGCTGTCTCCCTCTGGACCGATTCTAGACGTTCTGTTCTCAAAATTCTTTTTACTCCTCTGCACACCGATTCGTCTGATTTTAACCGGTCCGCGGGAGAGACCGTCTGACCGTCTACTCCTGGCTAATGCACCATTGTGCATTACGATACGCGTGTTACCTCTTTCCAACCTCGTGTTCCCTCCATGTGTCCCCTCCGGACCTCTTCGACGAGCATCTCCACGTGCGGGGAGAGTATGGTCCGAGGGTACATCCACCTAGCCTACCTAATACTCGTGGTACGACGAAACGTCGTCGGTGCGAATTGTTTCTGCGACGATCGACAACCACGCGCGACGTCCGCGCTTCCGGTTCCGTTCAGCCACGCTTTTCGGGTCAAGGTTGGCCTTTTAGAGTCGATGGACGATCCTTTTCGGCTTTCCTGGCTCTCACGGTGAGCATTGGATCATTGCATCTCACGATCGCAAGTGTGACTCTTCTAAATCTCATAGTGGTCTTGGATTGGCAGCATCTTGGATTATGTAACCTTGGGGATTTCTAGATCGAACGTGTCTTCTCGAAGAGATCCGTCGAAGACATCGGTTACGTCGTGCTTCGGTTCTGAATGTACTTTTGATTGGTTTCTTTTTATTTCCATGTATATCGAACGTTTCACTTTAGAGCTAGGCAAATGTGGGTCAAGCGCGAAACTCTTGTTTGTCTCGTCGTTGTCGATATTCGTATTCTTTTTTCTCTTCCATCAGGCTTACGTCCGTGTGTAGGAAATATCGAGTTCGTGATCCTGTATCTCTAATAATGGCTGGTTGCAAGAAACCGTTCCGTAAAATTCTAGTCTTACCTTGTCGAGGTGCTCGAAAAGTAAATTTTGCCTTGAGTAGCAGGAAGTTTGTACATCCAGCCATTGCGCATGGTCTCATTATTATTATCTATTATTATTCAAGGTATTCGCATTGTACGACAATCGAACAAATAATTTATAGTGATAGAAACAATCGAACACGCGAAATGCGTATAAATTAAACCACAGTGGAGTCAGTGCTTGACCTTAAAACTCCATTTTAGCTAGTTTCATGTAGTTCTATTATAATATAAATACAATTCACGGAACATATAAAATGTATACCTGTTAAGGCATCATAAAACTTGATACCAACAAGCGTGCCTTCGAGGTTACACTTAGGGCGACTAAACGTCGCCATTTTTAAGCCAAACTTAGAAGATATCATAAATACTAGAGATTTATTCAACGGGGAATTCGTCTATCAAGAGTTACCCGACTTTGTTTGATCAAGATCAATCTTGTTGGACCTGAAAGATATTCATCCATCCTCTTTCAGCCAATTCGTTGCATCGACTGCTAGAAAAGGGACAAAAGACACCCTGCTATTCCTATCGCGGTCGGAAATACGCGTAAACAGCGAGCACGGTTGAAAGCGAGTTCTCTGGTAGGCCAGAGCCGAGGTGCCGTTTAAATGTGGCAATTTGTTGATAAAATAATCACAACTGGCCGTCTTGCCTTCTATGGCTGGAGCCTATTTCAGGCAGGGCCGTGTCCCCTCCCCCGTGAGGCCACCTAGAACGATAAATCAAAGATTGTATTAAGTATATACCCAACGACGACGATTTGCGCGCCGGACCTTTCTGGTCCCGTAATCGCGTTTGCTGGGCGGCCAATTGCGACGAATTGGCAATTACGTTCCTTCGTTCCCGCTTGCCCGATGGCCTCAAGATTTTTCTAGACCCTCGAGCTTCCGTAGAAATTTGGTCAATGCCACGACACTCTCGGTATCGTCGTACACGAGTCATTCGTCGCGTTCCACCATCTTCGATGGTCCAGAATCCGACGCGACTGAGGATCCAAGATCCAAGGGATGGCTCGCAGGGTTGAGCGACGTAAAAAATCGGAGAGTAAGTTACGGCCCTGGCACTTAAGTTGCTCGTATGACGTCGTCAAGTGAGTAATGCTCGTAATTCGAGCAATGCTATAAAATATTCGATTCAGAGACGTAACAGACCCGTTGTTTTCGTGTTTCCCCGGCACATCCGCTGGCATCGCGTGCTTGAACTCGGAACAGGCCGGCTCGATGACGAGCGATCGGTCGAAACTCGGTCGTCCTGTTCTTTCCTTTCATCGTGCACCATTAGCTTAATTAACGTGAATCGCGTGCAATTATGGTGATACCTGACGCGGCGGTTTTCAGTCGATTTTCGTAGAGGAAATCGCGACGTCGATCCGACTAATGAGCACCTTTCGTCGCTGTGCAACTTTGCTTCCGTGTTATACGTGATATCTAACGAACAATCAGAGTCGCCGACGATTTTTCGCGTACCGTTTTTATCTTATCGATCTTATTCTAATCCGAGATGCATCAGCGACATTCGAGTGATGCTGTCTTTCGTTAAGGAGAGACTGGTGGTGAGGTGTTTTATCGCTTGTCAAACAGCAGAACGTGGTAAACGATACTTTATTTTCCTTTCTCTTTGTGTTTTGACAAATGGCTTTTTCGTATACAATTTTGATAAAAATGTCAATTATGCATTGGACACGACCAGAAGATCGATGATGATCTTGGTTTTACGATATTTAATGAATTACGAGCACTTCGTAGTCTCTGAAGGACAGTTCTTCACCGTTGAAGGGGATGTACAAGCAACCGTGGCTTGGTTGAACCTGCAACGACAATATTTCCGTTAATAATCTTCCTTTCAATCTTGTTGTTAAATTCTACCGATAGGAAGATACATCATTCTGTCAGAGCTGACACCTATTTTCTGTTCTTTTCCGCTGTCTCTTTTTCCTAAACAGTTTTTTCGAAACACGTGTCGCTCTTGGTTAAAATTAACGTTGCATCGAGAATACAAATTTCCTGTACAGCAAAAGTAACGGTATACTCGACCTTGCCAACTGTTTGGGATCCATTATGGAGGACACGACCAGCATACAGAGATTCTCCATCAGAGGTCTGCCCTACGACCACCGCGTCCTTTGGGATACTTCCGTTGCTGGCGAACTCCCACCCGAACTCTCCTGGGCACAAAACCTATGGAAAAAAGCGACAGAACGATGTAACGGGATTGCAATTTCGCTGAATTAATATCCCAAAATATTAGAGATATCTCGTGAAATATCAGAAAGAAGAGAAAACGTGATAATTGTTTGCACACGTTGAAGAATATTTTACGCTTATCTATCAATTGAGAGACTAAAAACTGGTTGCGCGATTGTTTAAAACAGTTCCTTATCTCGTATATAAAATATTTCACAAGGTGCCTGACTTGGCTACCAAGTTTGGCTGCCGATTCGCGAATTGCTTTGCCTCGTTGTAGAGTAGATGGAACGAAAGATAGGGTGGGAAGCTGTTTAAGTGGAATAAAAACCGAGATGACCAGATAATGGACGTGACTGGACGCTCGTCGAGTTCGTTTTCGAAGCCCAAGGCGATCCTGTAACTCGAAATTGTACAAAGAGCTAAAGCCTGATGCAAATAGGAATAAACCGTATTCCGATTCCGTGCCGCGAAACGGCTTTGCCTTGACACGAAATCTCGATTCCGTGTTTGCGTAAAGGGGCTGCCGGTGGTTACAATGGAGGATTAGTTTGGTTATTGGAAAAATTGGTTATTTCGCTAAAATCACTAGACCGGCTACGACTAGCCGCAGGTCCGCCTTGAACTTAATCCACGTCAACCCGTTTACTCATGGGACGAAAAGTGCAAGATAGCGAAAGATAACGAAGCGTTCCCTAAACGACGAGATTAGATTACAGTAAGGAGAAAATGAATTTAATTCCAGGAGATATGATACGTTAAATTTTACAATTTTGCGCGTGATCTCACCTAAACCGAATTTAATTCCTATCGTTAAGACCTCCGCGGGGTTTCGAAATTCGAAATTTGTTCTCGAAATTAATCTTCATTTCATATCGAGTATGCTTAAAAATTTTATTTATAAATGTTTAATAATATTTGAAAAAAATAGTTTCGAGGAAGTTCGAAGAACGTAATTCGTTAATTTTACGACTCGTTTAGTTTCATGTAAACCGACTTGTTTTGGTTCGTTCGCGGAGAAAATGGCGATTTCGATGATAGATCATGCTTGCTTTTTGCGAGTAACTCACCTCGAAGTCGTATTTCGCGTGCTCTTCGCCATTGTGGCACACATAGGCGACTTGTTTCTCAGGGATCACTTTCGCCGGAAGCATATCCCCCATGTGAAAAGCTCTTCCAACATAGATGGCACATCCATCTATGTCGCGACCTCCGGTAATAGCGGTCGAAGGTACACTTTGCCCTGCACTTCGGTTAACCCACCTGCAACCTTTGACAAAAATCCATTTTTCACTTTTTAATTCGTCAATTGATCAATTTGTCGATTTAATTAAATTTTCTAATTTGCAGATTTGCATTGCACCGATTACACCGTTCAAATCGTTGCACTTTTTTGATATATCCACCAGATGATACTTGAAGAGTTTCTGGGCCTAAACACGAATCCTGAAGCAGGGTTCTTCTTCAGAGAAATGTCTTTAAGACCCAATGTTGTAGGAAACTACTGTTAGGTAAAAAGTATTTCGTAAAAATGTAGATATGCTACCTTTTGAACCTCGATAACTATCTGTAATCGTTCGTAACTATAAAATATTAGAACTATGGCTATTAGCACACTTAGCGATGTCTCTTCTATCTTTCAAGCTAAGCTATTTTTAGCACCTTTAATTTTCATTTTTGCTATCTTTGAGCATTATTGGTCGAGATTGGACGATTTTGCAAAAATTCGAATTTTTCAGAAAAGGAGTGCGATAGAGTAATTACATGGAATTATGTTTAAGACAAGAAACTTTACAAGGATCATTTTTGTTGATCAGTGATATCTAATGAAAAAAACACCCATATCTCGGGTATACTAACATTGCCTTCCTGTCGCACATATAAACATATTGAGAAATAGATAAGTTTAGTCTAAAGAATTTGATGGTGAAATAGATAAAGGAATGCGAATAATATAGATTTAGTTGTAATACATGATATAATTTCAAAGTAATTTTGTAAGGAATCTCTACTTCTTGATAAAACATTTCTAAAATTTAAATTACATATTTCTGATTGACAAGAGGAAAAAAATGAAAGCTCCCTGGAAACTAATTTATATTTTATATTATTATTTAATATATAGAATTTCTGAGTGTATATACATGTCGGTAATATTGAAAATAAATAGAATTAGAATTGGTATAACGAAATTTGATACTTTTGTTTATGAATAATAATATAATACTTACCTCGCATCTTTAGGTCTGATACAACTGGGACTTCGAAAAAGACTGATACGTATCTTTCGTTTATATGTAAGTAAAGGCTGGTGCAATCTTATCATTCATTTGTGTTCTGTTTAAACGGTTAACAGCAGACTGTTCGTGCAACATGTGATAGATCGAACAGTGATATCACTTTTGGATGTGTTTTCTTATCAAATAATTCATTTTTAATAAAGCACCAGAGTTTATATTTTTTGAGATAATTTGAAATAATATTCTACCGATTAATAAAACGCATTAGAAAATATAGATAGCTTGATAAAATTATAAAATAATTTTAATATTTTATTGTAAATTTAAGTTTATTATTTTTCTACATAATTTACATTGGACAATCAATTTATACGTTGCAAAACAGGCTGACAATAAATCTCTTTCGCAAATTGTATAATATTATATACAGACATTAGATTATTGACTTAAAAAGAAGTATAAATTTTGTTTATAAATAATATATTAAATTAAAATATATTCCTACAAATTGGACATGTGGACTTTTGACTTGTATTGAACCATTTATACTGAAAAAAATTAATATTTCGACATTAATGATATAAAGTTTTAATAAATATACGAAATCCTAGAAACTTACCAGACATGCAGTATGAAACTTCTTACGACATGTATGACAAGATAATTTCGGTATTTGATAGGTGTTTATGTGAAAAATACTGAAACATATATAACATTCTTCCACGCCAGCGAACTTCTTATCCAAATTTCTTTTCCATAATGCTAATCCATCCCATACAGACCCATTCTATAAAAAAATAAAACCAACAAAAATGAAATAGTTTCAGTTTTTAAAGAAACAATTTTTTAGTTTTGACAAATCTTACCTGGTGTGTAAGAAATATGGACAACTGCATGTGACAATTTCGCCAATTCGCAGTACCACCTGCATGTTGTCCAGGTTCAACGGTAACTGGTCCCAAAGGATGATTGGGCGGTAATACAATATTAAGTTCCAATTTTGTATCATCCATTTGGTACAAAGCTACTACTTCACGGAATGTTGGATGTACCTTTACTTGCATGTTTTCAATGTTATGTAGTTTATTATTCAGAAGCTCTTCTTGGCAAAGCATAGGACTAACATAATGTGTTGTGATCTTGTCCACAGCGGCACTAACTCTGCTATCGGCGGTGCTCCACCATTGTCTTACCAACACTGGCAAATGTCTCAAACTGTTCGTATATAACCAACATACAATATGGTCTAGTCTCCATTCCGTCCAACCTTCTATAGGATATTATAAGTGAATAAATATTAGAGAAAATATACATGTATTAGGAAAAAAGATATTTTGGTATTAGTACCACCAAAATCTAGAGATGGTTCAGTAGAAAATATTTCCATTAATTTTGCCCCCTTGATCTTATTGTCTTGAAGTACTTCCACTGGCATTAATCGAAATATATTATTTAATAAATTAGGGAAAAAATCATCTCTGAAACAGACATATTGCATATGCTTTAAATGTTGGAATTTAAATATAAAATAATACATTTTTACGAAACATCGATTTGAAAAGATGTTGGAAATTAGTAAAAAAGATACTTACTTAAGTATCTCTGCATATTGATATAGCAAATCCCCATGAGCATTTGCACACATATTTAGAATAGTAGCCCATGATAGTAAATATCCAACTGTGTAAGTATAAGAATCTGTATATGGTTCAATAGTACAACTCACAGTATCGCATAATCTATAAAAGTATTGAAGTAAAGAAGCAATCTATAAAAGTATAAATTTGTTTTTCTGTTAACAAAAACAAACCGAAAACTTACTTGAAATCCATTAAAATGGTATTTACAATATTTTGCGTATTTTGAAGAATATCTTCCATTTTTTTAATATTCAGAGTATTTACGTCAAAGTTTTCTAATTCAACAGTAGCTTTGTCTTGTTGCACAAGTTCTGGTACTGCATGTTTTAATACATGATATGCACCTAATTGTATACTGGCTACAGGAGACTGCAGTAAATTCAATGCCAATTTAACAGTTGTTGTAAGAGATATGTTTGATGCACTTTTGAAAATTACGTTTCCATTTAATATTTTTATAGCTTTCCCTAAATAATCCAATAAAATGACAGGTTTCAAACCAGTTGTTTTTTCATTGTATAAACCTACAATACAAAGCTTGGTCATGAACGGCAAACAAAAGGTCGATGATTTTTAAATTATAAATATACCTGCATAAGACATCCAACATTGAATGATTCCACTTTGTACATCAGTAACAAAAACATTTTTCCATTCATCTAATAACGTTGGCGATATTTCTGATATTTGTTCTCGTTCGTGCTTGTTCATGAAATTTTGGAGTGCGTGATAAAGTTGACAAATGGCTATTGTAAATGCAAACACCTATGAAAATGAAAAAGAAAAATAATGTAATTTAATCACTTTTAAACAATGTACATAATTAGATGCATACCTTAAAATCATTGGCATTTTGTTTTGAATTCATCATAGAAAGCTGCCACAAAACTAAAGATATTAAGATAAAGTTCCAATGTTCGTATGTTAACTTAGATGGAATTTTATTCACGAGTTCCGTTAATAATCTTATAAGTTCCAAAGGTAAATTTAATTTATCCCATGAAACTTTAGAAATTTCACTAAAAAAAATATGTTACATTTGGTACATACATTTAATGAAATTTTTTAAAGTAAAATATTACCAATCAAGAAGTAATAAAGAAGGATTTTCCTTCTCATAAGATATTATTTTTTTCAAAATGTTAGAATATTTCAAACTATCTTCTTGATTAATTAATACACTCCTTGCTGCTATTAATTCATAAATATCATTATCTGTTGATACTGAAATATCCTCTAATTCTTGAAATTCTGATAAAACCTAAAATAAAATTCTTTAGAACTCTATAGGATTAAAAATTGATTATAAATTTGATAATGTTGTACCTGGAGACTTTGTAGCATTATTTCTTCATTTACAGTAAATATATCATTATTTTTATAATTTTCAAATAATTTTTTAGATTTTTTGTTAAGACATAATTCAGTGCAACAAAAGTGTATTATGTACGATAACATACTCCCATATTTTGAATAATTTCTGCAAATGTAATCAAATATAATATTTGATAAAACGATTCAGCTATTAAAAAGTCATACTTACATTTTTATGTAATCAAGAATTTCATTAAATGTATCTTCATTAATATACATCTGTAACTGTTTAAAAGTATCTTGTACAGTCATCAAAGTATTATTTACATTATCATAGCACATAGTCTGAAAATAATTATTTAATAGAGAATTAATTACTTTGTTAATAAAATTAAATATTTCTATATTACAAACAATAGATATATTTACAAATTTATAATGTTTAGAATAAATTTCTCCTAATATAATTGTATATATAACATTTATTAATAGATTTATAACCCCTGGTAAATTTAAATTGTGTATAAATAATTTTTCAACATTGGATGTTTCTGTTTCACATTTATTGTTCGATCTTAAGCATAAATTATTTAATAGGTTTATATTAAATAATGCCCATTGTAAGCAATTTCCAATATTATCCGTGACTATATTATTTGTTATATCAATGGATAAATATTTTTGATGAATTTGTATTTTTTGATGGAGAGATGTCACATAAAGTGCACCAGTTATTACTTCACCATATATGATTATTTCAGTCATTTCAGTCATCCATGTTGTTATATCAGAATCTGTTAAAAATGTTAAAATAATTTCTTCTGCACAGTCTTCCTGTACATAAACTTCGTTATCAAGTATAATTTCAAGGAAATCAACTGCTATATCCACCAATATTTCTTTATTGAGTTCTTCATTTCTGAAACATAGTAAAAATGTTATAAGAAAATGGATTAAAATGTATTATTAATGAAGAAATTTCCTTACTGATTATATATTTTTTTCCACATAGAAGTCGCAAGTTTTTTAGTTAAATCAATAAATTCTGATTGTGGAAGTTTTTGAATGGCTTCCAAAAGACCTTTTTTCCATACGTTTCGCATTGTATCAATGAAAATAAAATTACTACTGAAATAGTTATGTGAGCGCAATTCGAAAAGAATTCCTAACATTTGTACCGCTCCAATTATTGTTTCTTTGTGATTCCACGTTAATGGAACGATAGATGAAATTAATTTAGCAAAATCTAACAAATAAGTCTCATCTATTTCATGAAATGAATTGCAAAGTATAGATATAATTTTGTTTACTCCTTCCTTTTCTATTAACAAATCTGAAAATAAATATATAAAAATTATTTATTAATGTTACGTTAATAGAACATATCGGATTAAATATTAAAACTTACTGCCATCATCTAAAGGTTCAAAGGCTAATAAAATAAGATTCTGATTCTTTTCCAAATCAGAATAATTCCCTAAAACAATTTCTTTTGTTACATCTATTAGTAAATTAGTAATCTTAGATTGTGAACACCATTTCTTTACTATAACATCGTTTCTATATTTCTTAGATAGAGCACATTGTAAAGCACTTCTTATAGTTATAATGTCATCAAACTGAAAATAAATAAAAATATATATTAATATATATTTGCACATACAAGAATAGATAAAAAAATGTCACTTACTTCTGTTAATGATTTCAAAATTTCGTTTCGCTCAGAATCATTCATGTACTTCATTAGATTGAATATGAGTTCTATTATATGTTCAGTTTCTATTGATTGTTCTAATAACCAATTTCGTAAAATTTCATCCCATAAACTAAGAAAATTTATTTGCTCTTTAAGAAATTTGGACAGATATTTCGTAAGTTCATCGCTCTCAAAACATGTTATAAGCTTGTTTAAATATATGACATATTTTTTTGCACGTCTTTCAGTAATTTGATTAAAATATTTTACGCAAAGAGAATTGACAAAATTATTAAGTTCAGAGAGGAACTCGGTATCGGTATCAGTTTTTGTATCTTGTGTTTGAATTTGAGTTATTACTTTTTCCTCCGAATCATAGAATTTTACTTTTAAATTTTTACGGCTATGAGCAGGGATCGTCTTTAACGACATTAAAAATTCTATTTGAGAATTATTTGTATCTGAAATATCAAATGTTTCAGAATTTTTGCTAGTATCAACAAACGAAGTGAATAATGTATCAAGATCTCGCCAAAATTCTTGTATCAAACAAGAATAAGATCTATAATCGTCATTATGTCGATTTTTACTCCAGTATCGTATTAGATGAGTAATTTCACAAAAAAGTATTTGTTTCATTGGACTATTCTCTTTTAAACAAACTTCTAATACTGGTATAAGCTGAAATAATTGACAAATTAACTCATAATAGTTCTTAATGTATAGACATTAGAATGATATCAGATAAATGCAAAAAGTAAAAACCTCCTCTCTAAGCAATGCATTACTTAGATCTTCATTGTTAACATTCAAAAGAACAGAATAACGTAAACATTCAACGAACGATGTAGTCACCGCAAGCATTTCAGAACGACTCACTTGCACACTTTTGACAGAAAACCTGAAAAAAAATTAATTAAAATGATTTAAACCATGTATAAGTTAACATAATTAACATGCTTAATTTAATTAATCTATTATATACCCTTGTCGCATATTGTTAAAGAAATTTATGTACAAATAATGGGGATCAACATTTAGTTTTGGGAATTGACTAATAAAGGGTAATAAATTTGGGTAAACAATACTAGCGCAACAGTGCCCTCCATTTCGTAGAACACGCCATAGTTTCGGTAATACTAATTTTTCAATATTTACTACACTGTACCAATCCTAAAAAATTAATATTATTTAATATCGTAAATACACAATGTAAAACAATACACAATGTATGAATAATAACAATTTACCTCTATGTTGTTTATAGTTATAATCACAGATTCCCATACAGCTGACAACAATGCAGGCTCTGTTTCATCAAGACCATTCATGATAGTTGTTACAGTTCTCTTTTTTTCATTTTCTAATAGTACATTAGCACTTCCAATCATTGATGTTAATACAGTAAAAAATGCTGTTTTAACTCTGAGAGCATCGTACCTAACTAGTTTCCAAAATTTGTTATTGGATATTATTTTACTGTGAATATCAATCATTTTTTCAATTTCTTGAGTAGGAACTTTCTTTAGATAAACACTATATGCTTGTAAACTGGATATTAGCACCCTCTGATATCTTGTTTCCATTTCTTCTGCAGTAAGATTCCTAATAATCCATGACATAACATAATAATTTTCATAAACTGTATTTGTTGCATAGTTTAATAAAATATATTTGTATAAAAATCATACTTTTGTATAGATAAAGATTGCGCATTATAAACAATAATGTTATCACAGATATAAGTTAAGATTTCACGTTGACAATGCACAATGGCATCAATAACTTTTTTTGGTGGAAATGTATCCTAAATGTAAAAAATAGCTGTATTAAAAACATAAATATTAATCTCATTAATTTAAAAATTTCTGTTATTAACATATAATAGTCATTCACATTGAAAGAATTGCTAGCAGCTGATGCAGCAGGTGGATATGTATCATATTGTGAAGTAAACCAAGCTCCAGCTAATTGTTTTAAATACATTGCTATACTCTTGCCTACACGTTTTACAACAGCTGCATGTGCTAACTGAGCAGCTTCCCTTACTCTATGTTCCACATCTATTGCTAAAGCACAATACAAACGTGGCCAAAATGGTAACATTCCTTCCACAGCAGATATTTCTGAATCTCTACACATAATTGCAAATTCTTGTAAGGCCTAAAAAGTATCAAATAAATTTTTTATTTAAATATTACTTTTGTAGACAATAAAAAAAATTATTCATTACCTTGCTTTTGGTCGTTGAATCTTTCTTATTCATTTTCTTTAATACTATTTGAAAATTACTATCAACATTATTCATTTCAACCTCATTTGTATTGCAAAGTGTTAAACCTGGTAATACAGGCACGTATCCCCCATCCTTTACAGCTGAGAAACCAACAAAGTTTGGTATTGAAGTACCCAAAAGTTCCGCACTTCTGCTGCTATTTGATGGCTATAGATAATACACAACAATGATGATATTTGTAATAATAAATAAGAATTTTTATCAAACGAGCATATGTCAAAACATGTAAACAGACTGTGATAAAATGTTTACGGGATTGTTGATCGTATAATTTTAATAGAATATAATTTTATAATATAATTTTATTTAGGTATTAATATCTAATATCTTATAAAAAATTTAAAATAATTTAAAATTAAAGAAAGATGTCATAACAATACAATTTAACCTATAATTTTTATGAAAATCATTTTCTTATTAATATAAACTTCTTCTTACTCTTGCATTATTTTTGGTTCGTTGCGCTTGTTTATTCTTTCCCATGATGATTACAAGAACAACAAGAAATTAGAAATGCTATGGCTACACATAAATTTTGGTAATTCAGTTTTGCACTAGTATCACGTTTGCAACAGCTGATGTATGTATTAATGCTTATGATGTGAATATGTTTTTTTTAACACGATATACTTTATTCGTTCAATGAAAAGTTGAAATTAATTTGTGAATAGTTTTTATCTCTTTATGCATTTTGACAGTATTATTTTGTTAAAGAATATTATGTACGAAAATCTTGATAGATATTTTATAGAAAGAAGCTATAACAAAACACGATGATATATCGTATAAAACTAGTATTATATCGAATATTAAATTAGAAAGGATTATTTTATGTTAAGTCAAGTAAGAAATTATTGAATATACGTAAAAAATGTTTAGTTTTTTTAATCCAAGCCTATTTAAGTTTTTTTTATTTCAGGTTAAGGAAATAAAGGAAATGAGTGTTGGAAACAAATTGAGTCAGAGGTTGCTATTGTCATATTGTTCATTTACTTGCATTTACTTTCCTGGCATCCTGATATTACTCAAACTGAATGATAATTTATATAATGTGGGAAAATATAAATTTATTCCAGTGCTATTGATTCTGCTTTTCGCAGAAGTTATCAAGTTATTGTTCCCGATGTTTCATTCTGAATCAATGCTTATACCAAAAACTGAATTAAGGACATCTTCAAAAGCTAGAAGAGCATGGTCTAGATATCTAAAAGAAATTTTCAAATTTTTATTAGCTGGTTTTCTTTTATCTATTGTGTATTATATTGTAATTATACTATTTGGTGCACCAGTGTTCATGCATCATGAAGAAACTACAATGCTCACTGCCACATTGACTACCCTTACATTTGTTCCTGCAAGTTTGCATTTAGGAGTAGATGGTGCATTAGAAATTATAACTGGAGCACAATCACAAAAAGGCAATGTTCTAGTGGATGCTATAAAAACAAATATACAAGCTACTCTTTTAGGTACATGGTTAGGTGCTATTGTAATTCCATTAGATTGGGATCGACCATGGCAAGTTTGGCCAATTCCATGTGTTCTAGGTGCTCTTCTTGGCTACACTGTTGCACATTTTATTACTCTAGCAAAAACATTACCTATGTTAAGATTAGGTAAAAAGATTCACAGATAAATATGAATTAGATTAAATTGAATGTTATAAATTTCAATTCATAAATGAAACATTTTATACATGCAATAATTTATTTTTACATTGTGACATTTTTTTAATAATCTGATCTCTTGTATTATAATAGTTATAGACCAAATAATTCTAATCATCTTAATTTCTCTGAAGACTTATTTGTATGTTGAGTGAAACATTATGAAGGATTTTTTAATGTTTATGAATGATGCAAAAAATGTCTAGTATTTTGTATGATATTATAGATACATTAAGAATAATCTGTAAACCTATGTAAAAGTTATGAAAGCACCTACAAAAATAGAAGTTGTTTAATACAAAATAAACTTTATCTTCAAATGGAGTTATATTAGGTCAGATTATATAAACTTTCTGATATAATGATGAAACTTGATAATGATTGAAATAATGTTGTAAAATTAAAATTTTGTTAATTAAAAATTGTTACAAATTTTTTTATTGGAATATTGTAACCAATAAATTATATAAATACAAATTCTACTAAATACTATTTGTAAAATATCCTAGTCCTTTTTATATAAAAAATTAATTTTTCTGTTTAAAAATCATAAAGTATATTTATTCTATACAATCGAAAAAAGTAAAATAATTACAGTTTAATCGGGAATAAATTTATTTGAAATATATTAAGAAATTATTATATTTAATACATTTACAAATTAATTTTTATTAATAAATTTATTTAATATAATTTTTGTGTGTTACAAGATTAATTTGCTAGACACTAGATGTCGGTAGTATTAAAATAGCATCGCGTGCAAATTATGACCTTGGATTTATATAATTCGGTGATTGCTAAACGTATTGTGACCGGTGTTCAGAAAAAGTAATATTATTGTAGTGCTGTTCATTTCGTTTTTATTTTTCTCTACGTTGTTGAGTATCAAGTATATTTAACAATTATGTCGGACACTGTTGGAAAGGTACTAGTTTTTCCTAGATATATTGTTTTGTTCCATTATTACAGCTATTGAAATCAATTTATCTGTAGCGAAATACTAAGCCGGTTACGTTGTGTAGATTTTGAAATAATCTAAAGGAAATTACATTCAATATTATATCTAATATTTTTGGTCTTTGATAATTATTTTTTTATTTTCAAATTAACGATTATGACTGGAATTAATAAAGTATATAATTAAGTAAGAGCTAACTTAGAACTTCTTTATGTATTAGGTAATTAAATGTAAAGCTGCTGTAGCATGGAAAGAGAAACAGCCTCTGTCTCTAGAAGAAATCGAAGTTGCACCTCCAAAAGCTCATGAAGTTAGAATTAAAATAACAGCTGTTGCTTTGTGTCATACTGATGCTTATACTTTAGATGGCTTAGATCCAGAAGGAATTTTTCCTTGTATTCTTGGTCATGAAGGCAGTGGTATTGTTGAAAGTGTTGGAGAAGGAGTTACAGAATTTCAACCTGGTATTATATTATTACTATTTCATTTATTAAAATGTTTATACTTCTTTTTAATTACTAAAAAATTTTATTTATAAAAATTACAGGTGATCATGTGATTCCATTATATATTCCGCAATGTGGAGATTGTAAATTCTGTAATTCTCCAAAGACAAATCTTTGTAGCAAAATTCGTACTACACAAGGCAAAGGTGTAATGCCTGATGGTACTTCTAGATTTACTTGCAAGGGTCAGACTCTTGCTCATTTCATGGGTTGCTCTACCTTTTCTGAATATACTGTAGTAGCAGATATTTCTCTTGCCAAGGTATTCCTATGTTGTATAAATATTTCAATGATTGAAATTGTTTAAAACTTTTTAAAATTTTATGTGATTCAGGTTGATCCTGAGGCACCACTTGATAAAGTATGCTTATTGGGTTGTGGTGTGCCTACTGGATATGGTGCTGCTTTGAATACTGCTAAAGTAGAGCCTGGAAGTACATGTGCTATATGGGGATTGGGTGCAGTTGGATTGGCAGTTGCATTTGGTTGTAAGAAAGCTGGTGCTAAACGTATTATTGGAGTAGATGTGAATTCAAGCAAATTTGAACATGGTAAAATAAAGGAATTTATTAAAATTTTTCTTGGAAAACAAGAAAGACATTGACAAGTAGTTAAAAATAATTTATTCTTTTTAGCTAAAACTTTTGGATGTACCGAATTTATTAATCCCAAGGATTATAATAAACCAATTCAAGAAGTTTTAGTAGAATTAACTGATGGTGGATTAGACTATACTTTTGAATGTGTTGGTAATGTGAATACCATGGTAAATTATAAATGTTGAAATAAAATCTTCAATAAATCATTGAATGATTTTATTTATAAAAGAATAATGTTTTATGTTTAGAGAGCTGCATTGGAATCTTGTCATAAAGGTTGGGGAACATCCGTTATAGTGGGTGTAGCTGCTGCGGGTCAAGAAATTAGTACTCGTCCATTTCAGCTGGTAACAGGACGTGTATGGAAAGGAACTGCGTTTGGTGGATGGAAATCTAAAGAGAGCGTTCCTAAAATGGTAAAAGAGTACATGTCAAAGTCGTTAATTCTTGATGAATTTATTACACATACTCTTCCATTTGATAAAATTAACAAGGGATTTGATTTGTTACATTCCGGCAGTTGGTAAGTTTAACAAGCTATTTGATGATTTATCGATATAAATTCTTCATTAATTCTTGTTCTTTGCAGCTTAAGAGCAGTACTGAAGTACTGAAAAAGAGTAAATAAAATTTTGATATCATTTGCACTTTAGCTATAGCAAAAATACATTTGTTACTTTGTAATACACTTTCCAAATAAAAATAATATATTTCATTATAAATGTAGTCTTCTAATCCCATAGTGAATTAGGTTTAAAATGAATGTACTCTCCAGATTTCTACAACAATCTTTATTCATAAAGAATTCTTACAGCCACATGTACAATACCAATTTGGTGAAATATTAATAGTAGCTCTGGAATGAAGTAAAAATTCTTTACGCTTTGACCAGGTGCATACCTTATAAAATCATCACGGTACGAAGATCATAGACGATGATTTTTCATTGTATATAATTATGTATATACAATATGCAAGACTTTCGGTAAAACTATGTATGTTTGCTTGAAGTTAATATGTTTGTTAATCTAGGTCGACGGTACAATAATAATTCAGGCGGAATATAAATTGCGCTCAACGTAGCAAAGAGTATACACGTTAGTTAATTAATTCATCGCGGACGAGGTTTTCGTACACCAAATGTTTAATGGCACGGAGAGTTTCTACAAATTCTTATTTTAAATATTCCAAAATGGTGCAGCATCTATTACACCATTTGTTAAAATGCAAAGTTTACTTTTGGACAGTTGTTTATAAGGAACAGTGAAATAAAATTTATTTTTGATGAAAATAGTTATTGATATTTTCTACTTGATATACCATCGATCAGATAGCAGAAGGTATAAAATAAATCTTACTTTTGGTAAGAATGTAAGTACTGAAGATCAGAGTATAAGTATCTCTAATAATAATGCACCGGAGCGCTAAACGATCCAAACTTCAAAGAATATAACGAAATAAAATGTATCCTAAGCTTAAAAACTTAATCTCCATGTTTGTTCATTCTAGATGAAAGATACGTATAATTTGCATTGGCTATTCCTACGTAAATTGCCTTCTAATACTAGGGCATATTCACATAGTCACACCGATCAGTTTTCTACGGATTACATGTTATACTCTAGTACCTACGGTGTACCACACACTCGTTAAGTAAAAGTCGTTAAGTAAAAATGCTTATAATTACAGTAAACGCAGACGAATCACGACGAATTATGTTCGTTAATTATCCAGAATGTTTACTCCGTATCTTCGATTGTTATAGCAAGTTTACATAAAATTACTACGATCGAAAAGAAAAAAGAAAGAAAAAATATTTAACAAAAAGAACTAAGTTCGAGACTTTATCGATACATAAAATATCAAACATCAATTATAATCCACGAAAGTAATAATTGGAAACATTCTTTCCTCGTCGTGATTGAACTGCGGTTTAGTAGTTAGCGAGTATGAAATAGGTCATTCTTTTTTATGCAGTATATCTTACACTAAACCTCGCAACGCAAGATGGCTACGAGAGAAATGAAAATTGAAACGAAAGAACCGAAGTAGTAGAGGGAGAGTAATAATGGTTAGCGTGAAGAAAATAAATAAGCGTGGCGACGGAAATCTATATTAGCTGACGGCGTACGTTTTTCTGTGTTAACCAGCGAAGGTGCTTTATTACGAGAGAGCTCAATTAACCTATACTCGTGACTCGGATTATGCAAATACTTTTCTGTTTAATACCCTACGTTTTGAAGCGTGTGCATCTCTCTAAGAGTGTGTTAGACGCGTTTATCGCGTCCGCTGACTATTAGCCAGGTTTCTCCCTCAGCCAGCTTGTCTTCGTCCGCTGTATTATCGTAAGTCATAGACAGTATTATATATATATATTTATATGTATATTTATATATATATATATTATGCTTAGACATTATAATTCGAGATATCGTTAATCTAGCGCGGTTAGAAATCATAATTACATAGAGCATTCTTTTTCTTTTCTTTTTTTCTTTTGTATCTCTTCTTTTTTAAAGGTATCATAATCTCTATACGTCGTGGAGTGGACATGTGAATTTTACCCAATGGAGGATGAACTTTCCCTTCTTTTCCTGTGCATCGTTCTTTCTCTCTCGTATCTCTCCTTTCTCTTTCTCGCAAAACCTCTAGTTTGTATATGCATAAATAGTATATAATTATATTATTTATAGACGAGTTGTGCATGGAGGTACCTCGACGGGCACACAGGGTACAACGTGTCTCATTGCGGGTCATCGGGGCGATTCTCTCATCGCGTCGAATGTCGACGTCTCCTGCATGGTCTTGGATCGAAATATAGAGCATCATACCAGATTACCATTGCACGATGTAGCCCCTTGATTATTGCACTGTACAAGCTTCCTACACACGATTCTCCGATTCAGCAGCTTCTTAACCCGTTTGGCACTTGTGTTCTCGGATAGATTAATTTGGATTAATTATCAATGAAAAGAAGATATTTATACAATGTCGTTATTGCAATTCAAACCACGGACGATCAACAAAGGACAGAATTAATTATCAAGAAACGATCATTCTCGGGTTAAGGGTCATGACCAATAATCGACAAAGAGGACGCAATTCAAGTGGTGTAACCACGATGCCAGAGGGTATCCGCTGCTCGTGTCACTCTCGTCAATCCTCGTACTTCTTCGTTGCTCTTCTGACTTTTAGGCTCACGCGTGGGTCGCAGCCTTCGCCGACCTGTTTCACTGAAGACACCTCCAATCACAACGGCGATACTCGAAACCAGCGGACGACCACCGAGCGAGCACATCCTGTTCCCCTTTGCAAGGAGAACCGTGTCGTCCGGCTGTTCGATATCACGTTAAGGTGCTGCTCCCGTTGCTGCTGTTGCTGGCTGATTCTAAGGAGTCTAAAAGTCTAATGGCTGATCGGCGGAACCTTCGAGATCCTGTGCAGAATCTGTGCCGCCATCTTCGTCATCGTCTAGGTCCACGCTGTTTGTCTTCAATCCTCCGTTGCTAATCTTGTTTACGATCGTGTCTAAAATATCATCAGGTAAGTATTCAGATAATTCTTTAAGCCAATTAAAGACAATTCAAGAATGCATTTACCGCAATCCGGCTTGCTGCCACGTGTTCTAGTTCCAGCAAATTCTACGCCATGAGGATCCACGCACCAGCAGAGTCCTAGTCCACGGTGACACTGGGTGCTTCGATAATAACCCCGGGAATCGCAAGCAGGTGCAACGTCAGGTGATGATCGCTTGCGTACTGCGGCGCAGGGACGTTCAGCCTTTGAGAAGCAGTCACACCATTCGGAGCCACTCACGACGATGTTTCTGAAAGCAGGTTGTTATTCGCTGCTTTGCTATTATAATTTCGGAGGACATCGAATGTATCGGTCGCTTAAAGTGTACTTCCACGACTCGGGTATTTATGACGTGAAATTTCATCTCATCTCCTTCATCCAATAGACTTGGTCTCTGCTAAGGGTAATAAAAGGACGCATCAACGCGTAACGTCTTATTAAGTTAGCACGTGGTGGTGGAAGCAAAGTTCAGTGTCCCTGAACGGCGGGAATCTTCCGTTCAGGCTATATAGCGGCCCCTTAATATCCCAACTTAATCCCTATACTCTCCAACGGAACGGAAATTCCACTCCACTCCAAAGTAACAAACGCAACGACCCATCATTTCTTATTTCCCCGTTTGCATGCGAGCAAAAAGCAATTGACTCGGAATGAAAGTTTCACACACGCTCCGTGTGTCTGCCTCTTAACGACCAGCCACTCCGTTCCGTAGGCACGTACGCTCGAGACCTATTACGCTCGAGCGTCAAGCCCCTCGAAGGTATTAAAAACTGAAAGGGTTTCTCTATCTTCCTTCCTCTCTCCGACCTCTCCGTTCCCTTTTCGGGTCACGTATCCGCGGAGTTTAATGATTTACAAGCAACGGGCGACGGAATTACGTAAAAAAGAGAGGGGAGGAGAAAAATTCGCCGCGATGTGACAAACGGCTCGCATAGCCCCGGCGGAGATCTACGTGGGTGGAATATCACGTGCCCGGAAGTCATCTTACCCGTCGGTGTCACAGCCGCGGAGGAACGGTTTCAGACACGGCTCGAACTGATCGTGTTCCAGGCCGTGCAACTCGTAAGGGATGAGCCTGCCGTCGTTGTCGCTGTCCAAATGTCCGAACATCCACCTGACCTCGCTCTGGCAACCGATGGGGAAGTGACCTGGAAACGGTGCAAGAATGAAATATGAATTCCGATGGCCGCGTCTCGGCAGACGGACCAGGATGAAATATAAATATCGTTGGCCCTCGACATGGAATCATGTATGCTTTGGACGTTCGGTGTGTCCTGCTATAAATAAAAATGGTCTCGGGCATGCAATTGGGTTTGAGTTTGACGAGTTTACATCTGTCTAAATAAATGATCCGTCGATGTCCGAAAGATCACGAGTTTACGATCTCCAGTGGAATGTATCCAGGTACTATGTCACTATGGATACTTCGCCTGATCCACTTCGATTCTTCGCTTGATCTCAGATTAGATTCGAAGACGAACAAAGTAAGTATAACAAAATTAGATGTACTTTCGCGAGCTTAGGATAGTCTAAAATTAGCCTGAAAGACGAGTATGGTAGCCTAAGCTGAAATTATACATTCTAGTGGCGGTAATTAATCAGCTGTCCCTTTTCCAGCGATACAATTGTAAGATCGAATCGAGACAGTACCGGCTTGGAACAATATCGACAGAGACAGAGCAGAGTAATCGGCGGGAGATCTGAAGGGGAAGCGATTCATTTGAACGGGACAATTCCGTACTGGTACGGAAGTGATTGTACCGAAGTCGAATGGCGTGCAGTGACGTGAGGCAGTTCCGAACTATGTCGGATCGTGCGCGCTGTTATGTCCAGGCCCTTTTCGTGTGGAGCAATTAGTCTCTTGTATATTCAACTACGATCGTCAGGCTATGCTTCCTGCAACGATACACTTTGGTCATTCTATTATACCCGATTTACAGTCGACGACGTTTTTCCTGCGACGTCAAGTGCCAGTAAACCAGATAGCCTAATCCTTTCGAGCCTTCCGAAGTTCAGCAAAAATTCACTCGTTTATCGCGACTTTTATCAACTTTCATCAACTTCGCGTGCCGTGCAACTTAAATTGCTTCTGTTTGCAATTGTAGAATTTTTTTTAACGTTACTACGATATGAAGTAGTATTTCCATAAAGGGTACAGCTCGAAGTTTTAGCTTAGGTGTTATCTCGTAGATTGTTGGACGAGAATGGTATATTCGTTGATAAATCATGTACGTTTTTAGTAGCGATAGTTTGACAAAACATGTAATAAAACTTTGTTTCAGATGCCATTTATAGAGAGAATTTTTAAAGGTGTTAAACAATCCTCAACTGCGTGTACGTGCATGCGTATCTAGCGATACCACTCGAGATTGGTAAGTGTATTTCGAATTATTTCTTATGAATTTTGTTAATGCACGTAGTGCTGTGGTTCGCCGATCGAAACACCATATTCGTCCATGTCCATTCTGGTTTTAGCTATCGATGACCCGGCTTGTGACAAGAGTCTGGCTATCGACTCTAGGGTCATTGCGACTGGATTACTCTATTCGATGATCGTCCTAATCGGAACCGGTGATTCAGGGACCGTTTTAACTGGCTTTCGCGAATCACCAGCCACTTCGATGGGACTTGACAATCATTTGACGTCATCTCTATCGGGATTCAATGACTCGGAGACGATCTTAACTCTGAAATTACTAACCCGTGATGCATAGTTAGATACACTATACATACACAATACTGACTGAAGTGTTATGTATGTATATATATACAATAGACTTATTTAAACCAGCCATCTCTTCTTTTCCTCTTACAATATCGTTAGCAGAAAAATATTTTTAGTCGAAAATTCGCAACTTCCGAGCTCATTGTTAGTTTGTCGTTGTTGCGCATCGTTCGCGATAACGCAAATGACGGTGCAAGAATTTCGATGCCCGTTACCCATGTTCCTAATTTGTTGCGCCACGTCATCGCATGTGTAACTCGCTGATAATTAGAGCAACTTTTAACGCGTCACCGCTGCTTCCGATTCCACCAGCTGTTAAGCAAAACACGCGCAGCAATTATCGTTACACTGGTCACGCGATTTTTACGCGCTTGGCTATTGTTTACGTGACAATTAACTAAAATTATTCTCTCCTCGAGTATTGATCTATTATCCGTTTTCGAAATGCAATTAACGCGTTAAACATGGAACTGATTCTCACTTGCAATTTAAACGAGCGAACGCAGAGAACGTGTCTGATACGTGAAAATTACCGAAAGTTGTAGAATTCAACGCGTCAACGTCCACTGAACTCTTCTTGGTACCGAAATATACATGGACTCGGGTCGTTTTAATAATTATCGACGCGAATGATGACTGGTTTCACACGTTTCTTAGTTAAACAAGCATAAGTATATGCATGAGAATTGGAATCATGTAACCGGAGATTCAGGTTGTTACTGATTCGGTAAAATTAACGAATTGGTTGGAAATTGTGTTTTCGAATTAACAATTAGCTTTTGAAGGTAAGTATTAATCATTGATGTTTTTATAAAAGTTCATAAATTCATCACAGAAATTGAGTAATTTGTTAATTTTTCTCTAAGTGCAAGAAACATGAGAAAAAAATTGCTAAAAAACGCGGGAAGCATTGTTGTGTCTATAGAGGTGTGCCTGCATCATGCAAAAGAATGTAAGTCTTTGTATTAACATAACCTTCAATTGTAATTAAATAGTGTAAGATATAAGCTACTGTTTATTTATCTTTTATTAGTGATAGCAGCACCTGGTTGAAGAAGGACAATATTCTATTGAAATAAGCAGGCATGTGAAACAGGAGAAAAATATTGGATTTGTGGAATATTACCAGTGTAAAGACATTAAATGCCAAGGATTGTTTTTTATGGCCAGAAAAAATTGAAGCAGTAATACAAATATGTAAGGTATGTTATGTGTATTGGATTCTAGGTCGGCTAACCATAATACATACAAGATAGAAATCTTTGATGATCAAATAAAGATTCATAAAAGGGAGATGGTTTAATCAGACAAAAGGGAATAAAATTAATTTAAGTGATGTCCTCTTACAATAACAAGATATAGAGAATACAGTAAAATTGAAAAGTATGTTGTATTCCTGATCTGAATAAATATTAACATCAGTGGTCGAAGTTACTCATCATTGCTAATATATTAAGTTTCAGAATGATGGACTCAAGATATACAAAGAAAAGAGAGAGGTTCAAATGAAAGCAGAGAGAAGAGGAAATGTATATTGCATGGAATCAACAAACAGAAAAGAGGCAGCATGTATATCAACAGAGAAAGATGTGTGGCATGGACGTGCAAATATGAGTATCATTGAAGAGATAGAGAATGAACAATTGGTAATAGTTTTGAAAGGTAAAGATAAATTGAACATAAAGTGTTAATGTTGCTTTAAGACAAATATTTGTAGAAATGCACAATAGAACTTTGAAACTATAAGAACAATGTCAAAAGGAGGTAAAAGGTACATCTTATATATTGATGATTATTTGAGAGTTATTATTTATCTTGCTTTTATAGAAAAAGGATCAGACAGCTGAGGCTATAAAAATATTGGTAATATTGAAAGAAAAACAAACTGTCAAGAAGTTGAAAGATACATATGTGCTTAGAAATGGAGGTAAGTTTGCGAGAGAAGACCATCCAGGTGTGTTTAAATGAAAAGGAAATAAAACATGATTTGATTTTAGTCGGGATACTGCAGTGCAATGGAGTTGCTGAGGGAAAGAACAAATCCACCATAAAGATGATAAGGACACTTGTTCTTAAGTTGAATATATGAAACTTTTTAAATCATTTTTGAAACATTTTTAATTTACTTGAATCTACTTAAATCTTTGAGATTTTGTACATAATGATATTTCAATAAATGATAATAAAGTATTCAAAATTGAATGATTTCTTCAAAAAATATTTTAAATAGATTTTTATATAAAAACTAATGATTTTATGTAAATGAAAGAAATGTGATACGTATAGAGCAAGATAATATAGACTAAATAAGAACTAATTATTAATAAATAATGAATAATTCAATTGAGAAACTTGATGGAACTCCAACTTCTTTCATATCATCAATATTATCATCTGCTTCATCATTAACATTATCATTATCATTATCATTTTTATATTTCCTTTGCCTTGTTTATTATTTGACGTGTTTATTATCTGACGTGATTCGGATCTTTATTTATAATCAAAATACCTATAAACTGTACAATATACGAATATATTACAGAATAATTAGACTAAAACCTTTTT